CAACCATTCCCACTTCAGTGAACAGTCCCAATCTATATTAGTACATCTTGACAAGTAGAAGCATGCAGCAGCTCATACTTCCTGAAAGGGATCCCCCGAATAAGCAATATGAGCCTGTATATAGCCGAGGCAGCCTATTCCAGGTTTAGCCGCAAAGCGCCATCATGTTCTCCGGCCCCAATTGTTCTCGAACGACATTGTGAACAGATTATTATCCTCATTGAAGGCGGCAGCGTCCTTCGTGAAAAACGCATCCTCGAAGTCGATCAGCCAGGCTTTGTTGCCCTTGATGAGAAAGTTTCCCATGTTGGGGTCGTTATGCACGATTTCGTGCTGGTGCAGAGCCTCCAGCTTTCCCTGGCAGAGATCCTTATCCGCCTGGCGGGCGTTGGTCGCGCCCTCGATGTACTTTAGCAGGAATCCGACCACGTCGTCCTTGTGTTTGTCGACGACGAGCGCCTTGAACTCGGGGGCGATGTCCTCGCCTTCGATCCCTTCGTAAGCGTATACTTCGTTTTGCAGCCAGTCCATCCGCCGATGGACTTTCAGCAGGACAGTCTCTGGGATGGACCGAGTCTGGGCCCTGTAGACTTCGGCCTTGGCTTTCGCCTGAGTCTCCTCGTCCGAGTCGGGGTCTTCTGGATCGTAGTCGTCGCCTGAGTCGTTCGGGTCGGGTCCGCTGAGCTGGATGTCTTTGGTGATGTCGCTCAGCTTGATCTTGGGCTTGTCTTCGAATTCTAAATCGGAACCTCGAGCTGAAAGATGGTCTCTCGCTTTTAAGCTCACATCAGGACCCGCGTTGAACACTGACCGAGCCTGATGGGGTCCCGTTAATATTTCCGTCTTTCAGTGTGGGACGTGGATGGCATGGATGTAGCTCGCTCATTACCGTAACTAGGCCTTGAGGACCGCTACTTGGGCTCAGGAGGCCAAGTAACCCGATATATAGGATGCTTGGAAAATGCATCTTGAGAATGAGACTACAGCTAATAGGACTCGGATCGGGGAAGTAGTATGATGAGATGTAATGTGTACGTGTAGACTTGTCGTAATTAATGAGCAGGCACAATGAATACCGTTGCGCACCCAAGATGACCTGTCCGGGAGAATGCCAACTTTTATATCCAGCCTTATATTCTTAGACACATGGCTTGTCATCGTAGACCATTCTATTTCCACCTGAATATCCACTTTCCGGGCTCGCCGGGGCTCGGCAAGTGACGACAGTCGCAACTCGCTCATGGGGGCGATGATTGTGGTCCACGATGACTCCGGGGACTGGGAGCCGCACCCAACTACCAGACAACAATAGAATACTTACAGTAGCAAAGGATTAAAAGTGTGGGTTTTGGCAGACTGCTAAAGGCCTATTTAGGCAGCTGGTAGGAACACTAAATCCTTCAATAGGTTGGACATATAATCATTACCCGTACCCGGGCTTATCATAGCAATGTCCCATCCAGAGGATCCACGCAGACCCAGATGTTCTATATCGATCTTATGGAACCTCCATCCTGAATGCCTCAAAGGCCCACGAGCGTAAGCGATCACACTGTATCGCTGTTTTGAGTGGTCCCTTCATGAAGCATTTAATCGGCCCGGTCTTAAGATAGATTGCAACATACGCAGGCATGTGGCGCGTCGTACGACCCATAGCTCTGCTCGCCAGGAGCGAAAACCTTGATTTATTCAGACTCAAAAGCGACACCGCTACGCGCAGTCATTATTAGGCACAGAGGACCGCCACGCAAGTTATTTCCAAAGACGGTGGACTGACTGATCTGTTATCATTAATTTGGTGATCCATAGTGCTCTACTGCACTCCCGCTAGGTGGACGATGTCAATCTCAATTGTGATTCGGGCGATTGGGTGAAGAAGGACAGGAGGATGAAGTTGCATCGAGCTTGCGCTGTCAAGTATATCACCACTCCCCCTCTCACGGCGGATTACACTCCTTGGAATATTACATTCGCATAAGCGAGATGATCATTGCGATCAATCCCGTTTTATAGCAGAGTAAGTATAACCAGGGCGAAGCGCCATTGGGTCACAATTAAACTGCCTTCCTAATGGCGGCCGTCAAGGCAACTATGGTGGCTTAGGTAGTTAAAGCCCAGGCCCGTTATCTGAGTATTACAGGTCTCACAGCAGCTCGCGAGAAGCTCGTCGACGTTACAACCTAACAACGAGACGGACGTGTTGGAGCCGTGCTCGCTTTCCGAGCCCATACCCATCCGCTGACACCAGGCCGCAGGAAACGTGCCAGACAACGCGATCTCGATGCTCACCAGAAGACGGCAAACCCCCATCATTTCAGCTCTTCGGTCGCACCTCGACACAGCAGTATCCCTACTGCAGTCAGCGGCTTCCTTCGTCTCCGGCTAGAAGCCTATGCCCCCCTGCCGCCACTATGAACATGTTGGAGAGCCTCCTCTTCGCTACAATATAGACCACAGCTTTATATTCGATGCTATGTCGAAGTCACCGGGCAGCTCGCGATCCATCAAGCCCGTACTTCTGACAGCCGGCTAGTATGGTTTTCGGGGATCTTGTTGCCGTTGGAGATCCGAGCCGCTGCCCAGTGAGCAGCCAGATGCAGATGACCAGTCTGCGGTTTGATAGTTGGGCGGAAATCGAAGACGTGTACAAGAGCTAGGATATTGAGATTGACTGCGCCGCGCGTGCCGCAAAGGCAGTGCACCGACTGTGCCGCCCGCCCGTGCGCATTGTGCCTGTGCGCCGGCTTGTATGGGATATCTCACTGACTCCCTCGTCATGAAGTAGTTTGTCTTTCTTACTACATCCTCACAGGAAGCGCGCGGCATCAGTCTGACTCAAATCTCTCGGCAAGCATTGTCGTTCTATATCATTCCTCAAGGGCGATAACAGTTCAGGAAATAAGCCGTTTCCACAATAGATCGATCTCACCAGAAGCCGATCCAACCGGTCCCTCAAGCCATTCACCATGAGCTGCGAACCGCCGAGAACAGCGCTGCCTATCTCCTACCCAGACTCGAGGCCATGAAGCAAAGCAACCCGAAACTGACTCTGCTGGATGTCGGTGCTGGCTCGGGCACCATCTCGGTAATTCTGGCAAAATTTATCCCAAAGGCCAAGTCACCGCAACGGACTTGATTGATTGATTGATTGATTGATTGTATTTATCGTGGGTGCAGTCCCTCCATAGGGCAAACCACGCCTCCCAGAGCCATTGCATCGCAAGGTTGTAGAGGTGTCAGTCTAGATACATTCAGATCCGCGCACGAGCCTATCCTCGCTGTAGCGGTACCAACCTGGAGTGACCAGATGGTTTTAGTCAATACCCAAACATGATTCTGTCAGAAAAAACCTCCTGTCTAGTGACTAAGCGACCCAGTGAACCTCAGTCCTCTGGTGTACACATCGTTCCAGTAGCCATTCGATATATGTCGCATTGGTGGGTGAAGTAGGTGTTTGTTATCTACTGGCGAGGGAAACCATAAGGGGAAAAATCTCACAGGAGTGGGTGTTGTGGAGACAAGCTGTTTGGCTATCAGGCTCTGCGATAAGGGGCCTCTCCATTGTCGTGTGTTGGTTGTCGACTCGCACAAGCCGGGTCAGAAGGGGGCCATAGCAGGATTCGAACCCACTTGTTCTCGTCGCCCACCGCACAAACGAGAACACAACCAGGCGCATTTGACCATTGCGCCATACGGCCAGTGGCCAAAGAAGGATGATGCGATCCTGGGCATGATGCACGGAGAGATTCTCATCCAGAAGTAGTGCACAGCTGGAAGAACCAGCACACCGCACGGAGACGCCCTCTTTGTGATGAGTTGGGCAGCTATACCGTAACTGCCAGCTCGTGGGATGGAACTGAAAAGCTCAAGTGTTATAGCCGGACGTACCTGGGTGGTTTGATCGCGACTTTCCCAAGGTTTCCGTCCATTTGCGCGACCATGCTCCTATACATGCGCATTGACAGAAGACAGCTAGGCCCATCCCGGCGAGACGCATATCCAAACTCCCTCCTCCCTAAGGTCCTTGACTTGACTTGACTTGACTGGAACAGCTACTCATACACAGAGAATCAACGTGCCTCGCCCTGGACCGTACGACAGGGCGCCCAGCTATGTTGAGTATGCGTTAGTTGTCTCTACGCAACAATTCATATGCACGGTTCTCGGTATAGCCATACCATAGCTGGTGACCGCATCCGGGGCATGTCAACGTCAGTACACTGCCAAGAGACATGAAGGTGCACCAAGTGCATACCAAGAAACACCCTAATTGTCCACGAGAACTCATCAAGGGTAACTCGGGGAGTAGCCCAGAGTCTCCGATAGCAGATTTGGGCGGAAAGCAAGCCGCTGGCCCAGGTGGCGGGGGCAAATAGCCCATTTTGCTGGCCACGTTCAAACATAGGTACGGCACAGTCACCCATGCCGCAAAAGTTCCATTCCTTCGCCTTACTAGGGGGTGTTCCTGACTCTTGCCCCTACTCCAAAACGGCCGCCGCGGCAGGCAGCAGAACACCCCGATCATCAGATCCACGACTGGGATTCCCCCCTGCGGTGGCGAAGAACTCCGCCGAGGCTGACACGAGGGGCTACTTATGTCGGTTGCGGCGAAGGATAGTCAGATAGAATACCGAGAGTGCCTAATCCATGTAAAATGTGTCCTCAACATTGCTCAGTACCCTGAAAGGCTACGCCGAGAACACGACTTGTCATGTCAGACGTTTCCACTCGCGTCGTGGACTCGGCCTTTCCTTCATTGATGACATGGGACGCAGACCGGGATGTAGACTGGGACGGCGCGATATGGAGGCAACCTAATTGATAAAACGCAGACCATCTGCAATCATGAGGACCTTCTGCGTTCTTCACCAACGCTTCCAGACCACTGCAGCCATCATCACCTTAATCACATTCATCACCATCGTCACCATCATCATCTTCATCACCATCATCATCGGACATCGAAAACGGGACAACAGCAAATCGCACCCCTACACAGAATGCTCAAGTTCTCGTTCGCCATCCTCGCTGGCCTTCTGGCTTATGCGTCGGCGATACCTCTCACCAATAACGACAGTGTTGCGATTACTCCATTGGGGGGGGGGCCGGGGGGGGTCACCAAGCGTGCTCCGGAGTGGGCGATCAACAAAGATCTCAGGGAACTATTGGCCGACCGAGCCGGCCTGAAGGACGTCAAAAAGCAGCGTGGACGCCTGGAAAAAGCAGTGAAGGAAGCATCGACATGGAGCGATAACCCTGGTCTACAAAAATATGTTGAACAGAGTTACGTGGCTTTCGAGCCCCGCATACAGGGTCATCCGGCTTACGAAAAAGATATACTTCAGAGAGTGGAAGAAGCCGGCTATATACTGGACTTTGGCACCGGTTTCACACAGGATATGCAGCAGCTCGTCAAGGACGGCGCTTCTCAAAGTTATATATTCGGGTTCGACCTTGACCCGAGGCCCATCTCCGTTGGCCTTGAACTTTTTGGAGACAACTCTGGCTCATCCAATAATAATAACTTGCTCGAGGGCAACTTCCACGGGGGCGTTAACATATTGCATCCTGAGGAATGGGATGATGATGTAAACGATTTACTGGGCCAGTTTGTGGTCGTGCATGCGTCCAAGCTCTTCCATCTGTTCTCCAAGGATGACCAGAAGAAGATTGCGCTCAACCTCATCCATTTCCTGGTCAAGGATAACGACAGTGGAAACCCGCTCATCGCAGGGGTGAATGTCTTTCAGGAATCCGCCAAGGACCCACGGTACCACAATAAAGCCACGTGGAAGACGCTTTGGGAGGAAGTCAAGGACTCATTCAACAAGGATTCGGAAAATGATCAAATAAAGAATATCGATACAAACACACATATGGTGCCGAAAGCTTCGCCCGACGAAAAACAGATGACCTGGTTCGAGGTATATGTCGAATGGAAGGGTTGATATGTCGGAAAAGGACCTCGGTTGTGCATACGGGAAAGCAATGTCCATTGATAGGTTGCGGAGTTTTATCGTCGAGCATAGGGCATGCCTGACGCTAGCAGACTGTAGGGCGGGTTTCCCAGGGAGTTTGGACTAGGTGGAACTGAAATCTAGCAGTGTACTACATATATGAAAATCATGAGGATAGTGCTGGTCTTCCTCTTGCCATTACGACTTATATCTTGGCCTGAGTGACTAGCCGTCGCTGGTGCAGCTTCACGGCCTCATCTGCAAGCTGGGTCTCGGTCTTGATTGTCCCCAGCCGACTCTCTGGATACAGCGTCAATATTGTGTTCTCGAAGCACATGTTGTGAGTATGGTGCGCAATCGCCTCTTCCTAGATCCGCTTCATGCCAAAGAGCATAAAAGATGCACACTGCTCATCACTCGGTCAGACCAAATCTCTGGAAATCCCCAGCTACGAGACATCCCGAAGGTCCCCCATGGCCTAAATCCTGTGTCCAGCAGCCTGGCAGCTCCGACTCAAAGCTTGGCGATCAGCAGTCAGAGTCCCGTTGTATAATCACGACTCGTGCGTGCGCCTTAGTTTAACCGCTGATGTACGAACATGGGTCTGGAAGGTGATGCTGTCAGAAGGCGAACCATATAGGGGGGGGTAAAGATGTGTGTTGTTCTGCAGAGGGCTACAATACTAATCAGGCCTTGAGGCCATATATATGTACATGTATGATTCCTTTGTTCCCAGGATATGCTTCCTGGCAGTACTCCCCTTTTCCAAACCTCATTTGACTGCAAATGAGGCGATTCAGACGTCAAAATTAGTGTCATTGTTACTTTTAGCGGAGTTTTTACCTGATATATCTGAATCGTTGTTACTCGACTTTGCTTTACTCTCAGCCCTTCTTTCGTGCCAGTCCCTCTGCTTGAGGACGTCCTTCTTGTGATATTACCATGGGGGTCCTGGTTTACCCTTGCTCATGCGGTGGAACTCGTGAATGATCCAGTGACATCCCTGGAGGTTGTGAGCAGGTTGCCACGATGTGGTCCCATCCTGCCACTCGATGAGGTACTGGAGACCTCCCTTTTCATCCAGAAAGCTGTCAATTACTCTGTTAAATACCTATTTCTTCTGGAGACGTCCCCTGTCATTTGGGACGATGATGAGGCCCTTCTGGTCATCCTGGGAGTCCTTGTTGATCTCCACTTGTCCCAGGGTCTTGGGCTTCTCAATGGGTCGCAACAGTGAATGATGGAACACCGGGAAGATGCCGTTAAATTGCCCATCAAGCTCGAGAGCGCATGCTCGCTTGTACGTTCGTGATACCGCGAATGGACCTAGCCACTTGTTGCTCAACTTCCTAGACGGTCTCTGGGTGACAATATTCTCGGAGCTCAGCCATACCATGTCATCTACCTTGTACACATGGGCGTCGCTGCGCTTGACGTTCGAATAGTGTGCGTAGTCTTCCTGTGCCTTAGCCATATTGTGACGGAGTTCTTCGAGCAAGTCCTTTATGAGCTCAGCGTGCTTGTCAGCCTTGTCCCACTCCCGTGCCTCGTCTCTTGTCAAGTTCAGGGGCCGCGGTGAGGGAGGCTCAATGCTGATCTGTGGATTCCATCCGTAATTAGCGAAAAACGGGGAAAACTTTGTGGTGTTAGAGACCGCGTTGTTCGAAGCGAACTCTGCGAGAGGCAAGTGGTTTACCTAATCGTCCTAATCGAGCGAGATGTAGATACGGAGGTACTATTCCAGTACGGCGTTCAAGATCTCTGTCTGCCCGTTCGTGGAAGGATGATACGCAGACGAGGGTTTCAGCCTGGAGCCCAAACGCTCTGCCAATCGGTGCCAAAAGTGTGAAACGAACTGTGATCCCCGATCGGAAGTGATAAACTCAGGAGTGCCATGGAGTGAAAACACCCTGTTGATGAACGCGTCGACCATCGTATCGACGTCCAGCTTGTCGACTGGTACGAAATGACACATCTTTGTCAGACAATCGACTATCACGAGGATGTGGCTGTAAACGATTCCGTGACGCGTGCACTCAGGTAAGCCGGTGATATAGTCAACTGAGATATTCGCCCATGGTCTGAAAGGCACCGTCAAGCTAAGTAAAAGCCCTTAAGGACTCTGTTTCAGTCCCTTCGTATGTTGGCAGACGTAGCAGGCTCTGACGAAGCCTCTGATCTCTGCGTACATCCCTGGCCACTAGTAGTCACGCTTGATCAGTTTGATAGTCTTTGCCTCTCTTTGGTGACCACTGGCAGGTAGCGTATGCGTGCCATATTGGATCTGGGAGCACAGGTGATCGTTCTTGGGGATAAAGAGCTTGCCTTTGTAGAAAACACGGCCATCTTGTAGCTCGCAGTCGCCGAAAGGAATGTTCATAAAACACTTTACAACCTTAGGCCACCTCCTTGAACGTAATAAGGCCTTCACGACCTTCTTCGTCATCGGGTCTGTGGCGTACGCTGTGTCGATAAGGTCATCGAGATCCTCGGAGGTATCTACCACGCAGAGGCGTTCAGCCATCCCTAGCGATATACGCGCTTCTGGGAGCAGTACTTGCTGCCTTGCTGCGACTCGTGAGTCAGTGGTATCGTTCTTCGAGGTCGGGGTATCCCCAGGTCTCCGGCTCAGGGCATCTGGTTTGACAGACTGCTTGCCGCTCTTGTAGACAATCTGGAAGTTGAATTGGCTGAGGAACTCCGCCCAACGGGCCTGCCTTTGCGTCAGGAGCTTGGTCAACATAAAGTACTGCAGGTTCTTGTGATCCGTAACTATCTCGAACAGCTTGTCAGAGCCCTGAAGTTCGGGTCGCCATTCTTTGAGAGACTTGATTATCGCGAGCAACTCCTTGTCGTATATCTCGTAATTAGCTTCAGCTGGCGTGTGTTTGGACGAGTAGAAGCCAACGGGGTGCAACTCTCTTCTGTCGTCGTATTAAGAGATCATTCCCCCGATTGCCCAGTCAGAGGCATCCGTTTCGACTACCGTTCGTCTCGCGGGGTTGAAGTACGAGAGCACTGGGGCGCGTGTGAACGACTCCTTGAGCCTCTGGAAGGAAGATTGGCAGGTGATATCCTAGTCTCAGCGTTCGGACCTCTTGAGGAGACCTGTGAGGCGCCTCGCAATCGAAGAAAAGCCCCGAATAAACCTTCTATAGAAATTTGCGAAGCCAAAGAACCTCTGAAGGTCCCTGACATTGCGAGGGCTGTCTCAATCGAGCAGTGCTCCCACCTTGTCCGGGTCCATACTGATGTGTTAGATTCAAGCGAGTTCAGTGATTGGAGGGTGATTCTTCGTGTATTGCATGTAGTGTGTTGTATCTGTTCTGTCTGTTCAGGTGCCCCTGATCGGTTCCCAGTTTGGTGCTGGTCATCTCCGCCGTACCGTGGTTTTTCCGGTCGGACTCGGCTCATCTTCATGACCCCTGTTATCCAACATGATGCCGTCGGTTGAGATGATGAGGCCGAGATACTTGGTCTTGGTGGTGTGGAAGTCACACTTGTCGATGTCTACCTGGAGGCCTGCTTCTTTCAGGGCTATCAGGACCTTTCGGACGTGTTCCTTGTGTTCCTTCAGATTCTTGGAATAAATGAGGATATCATCGAGATATGCGGAGGCAAATTGATCGAGGAAATTGTACAATGTGTCATTGATGTAATGCTGGAATGTAGATGGAGCATTGCAGAGGCCGAAGGGGGTCACAAAGGTCTCGTAGAGCCCAAATCTGGTGGTGAATGCCGTCTTCCACTCGTCTCCCTCCACGATCCGTATCCTGTTAAATGCTATGATTATATTGAGCTTAGAGAAGACCTTAGATATGCACAGGACATTAAGAGTCTTGCGGATAAGGGGAAGAGGGTATCTATTCTTTATATTGACGTTATTAAGACCGCGATAGTTAACACAGACTCGCACGCCACTACCCGGCTTACGTGCTAGGAGAAGAGGCGCTGCGGATCGGGACCTGAAGGGACGGATGAAGCCTTTCTGCATGTTATCGTTGATGTTGGAACAGGCTTGAACGATCAATCATAATACTCGAGTATGGGGTCAAGGTCATGATGTTGCTGATGGTTGGATTGGGAGGTCTAGCTGGACCTGAAGGTCTGGCTAAGTGACCTCGCAATCCGGTATCTAATCACTTATCTAATCATACATGTGGGTCCTGGTATAGATGGTTTGCAGGCTGGAATCGCATGGATCCAACAGTTGAGGTATTTCTTCACGACTCGGAGTTCTGATTCAGACATGGGATGCCTCTTCAAGCTGGGGATGGACTTGTCGGGTTCGATGTAGATACGGTGGCCGTATGATCTATGTTTCAGTAGCTTCGTCGCTTCAGAGGGCAGGAATACGTCGATGAGGTTGTGGTAATCGGGTGGCAGCTTCCTTTTGATTTCCTCCATAGTCGTGGGCTTCTTATCCTTGAGGTACTTCTCGATATCCTCATCTGTGACCCTGTTTATGGAATGCTTGTCAAACAGGTCATTAACGAACGCGTGGTATCGCACATCCAGCCTCGCCTTATGCTCGTCAGGGCTGCCCTCGGTGGCAAGGATCCGTCGGAGGTCGCACTCGGCAAGGTCTGGGGGTTCAAAGTCTGGTAGATTCGCGTGTTCTAGTTGTTTAGCTGTGATCCTCGAGATTGTGACGCCCTTCTGTCGACAGAACCAGGCGAAGTTTGTGGCAGAAGAGATCTTCAGGTCATCAAGTGAGCAGTCTTGCAGTTCGACTGTGTCTGCGAACCTGACCTTCCTCCTCTTCTGGCTTGGATTCGGCACCTTGCGGCTGCCTCTGACCTGTGCAGGCCATATATGAAAGCAGCTATTATTACAGAACTTGGAACAGAACGTGATTTCGTATGTCTGCCAGTCGATTGCGGGATTATGCGTACGGAGCCACGGAAAGCCAAGTATCAAGGGATGCTCGTTGCCTAGGTCTGTGAGGAAGCAGAGGAGCGTTTTTATGTGGCCATCCACCTCCATTGTCACAGCGACGAATTCAGTGACGTTGTTTTTCTGCTCCCCGTCTGTGAGGCGTAGCTGTTTTGGCTTGGGCAGGCATAGAATGTCGAAGTTATGGTCTCGCACAAAGGTATTATCCATGAAAAAGAGTGCTGTACACCCAGAATCGAGCAGTGTGACGACATTAATCTTGCCGCGGCCCCCTTGACGGACAGTTGCGCGCAAAAGAAATGAATTATCGCCGGTATCTGCCAATTTGAGGTACAATACGTCCATCTCTGGCACCTCCTTGTCGTCAAGGTCCTGAGGGCGCCTTTCCTCAGGACCTACCCTTTTGACTGCTCCGACGAGCCTTTGTTACAGGAAGCATTGTATTGGTGACCATGACCAGCAGGAGACCTCGACCAAGGGGTGTTCGGATAGCTGCCCGGATACTGAGACGAGCCCGCGGAACCAGGCCAGTCATCCGCGTTTCTCTTCCACCCGATGGCTCTGATACGAAGATCCTGCAGGTGTCCCTGCCTGAACGGGTTGGTGTTGTTGTTTCCCAAGGGTGCTGTGCCTGGTCATTCAGGAAAGCTGTTACTGCGCGAGGGGGGCCGTACGCAGGTGAACTGGGAGTATCAGGGCAATTTGCCTTCACATGGCCCTCCTTTCCGCAGTACAGGCAGAGGCCCTCATCTATCTGCCTCTGTCTCTCCGTTGCTGACAGTCGACGTAGCTTGAGGGTATCGAGATCCATGGGGTCGCCTGCGGGAGCACTTTGACGTATAGGGGGCTGTTATGCTTGTGGGGGGTGCTGGTTCTGGTTGTTGTTATTGTTGTTGTTGCCGTCTTTCTTGTCCTTGTCCTTGTTAAACGGGTTGTTAGAGAACAGGTTCTTGTTCCCCGTGTGGTGCGCATAGTCCGCGATATTCTCTGTCAGGGACCGATAGCAATCGACTCATCCATCGAAGTCATTGTTCTGGGGCTTCGGGAACACACTGATCATCGCTGATTGAAGCTCGTTGTTGAATTTCTCGTTGTTGACTTTCTTTTTTAGCTTCTCTATCTTTGCCTTGTTATCGAGACCCAGGTCGGCTACAAGGACCAAGAACTCCGAGAGGAAGACGCTGAAGGCGGAGTTCTTCTGCTTCAAATTATCCATCTCGCGGCTGGCATCGCCAGACCGGTCGTGGGAGTCATACGCGCGCTCCAGCCAATCAAAGAGGGTATCCGCGTCCTTCCATTCCCACCGATGCGGCTCCTCCGGGTAGTTGTAGATATTCGCCAAGTATGAGTCCACGGCTACCCTGGCACCGCCGCCCAGGCGAGAGACAGCGTACAGGATCTTGCTGTATTTAGTCGAGTACTTCTTTTTCTCAACGTTGATCTTGAGGCGGGCACCGCCCTGCCAGGCTCGGTACTCACATCGGCGCTTCTTGTCATCCTTCTTGTCGCCGCCAAACTTGTCAGGGTCGGACACCAGTGAAGAGGGACCGTGGCCCCCTCCACTGCCGATGCCCTGGATGCCCTGTTCGAAGGACCTGGTGAGGTTGCCGATACCGCCTTCGTACGCAGCCACTTGGCCTTTGGTCTGAGCTAGCTGGTCTCGAAGGTTCTGGTTCAGGGCGTCGCCTGTGGCGACTTCCGTTTGCAGTCGCATACACTTCTGGTCGATCATCTGCAGTGCCTCTTCCAAGGTGTTGAAGATAAGCAGGGCTTGGGTATTGCCGGGCTTGTTGCTGCCGGGGTCAAGGCCGTTGCGAAAGGAGCGGAAGTCCCTGTTATAATTGTTATTGAGGCACGCCTAAAGGACATGTGGCCAGGTACCGCCAAAGAGATTCTCAAGGCTCACCAGGCCGCTGACAGTAGTGCCAAAGTTGCTGTCGGAAGAAGACATCGTGGGTTGAGAGAGTCCGAAATGAGGGTCAGGGTCAGGGTCAGAGTCAGATAGGTCAATAATGCTGTACAGTGTGGTCTCAGGAGGGCATGTGTCAGGGTGAACAGGGTATATATCTACTGACGCGTTTGCCAATGATGCCGCAAACACTACCAGTGCTGCAAACGCAGCATGTCTCAGACTCAACGCCATTTTCCTTGATTTCTGAGGTTTGAGAGGTCTGTGAGCGCGTCTGAGAGCGGGAAACGGGAGGCGATTGGCTGATACTGAGGCTCTGAAGTGACGTTTCAACTGTAGCTGAGGCTCCGAAGTGACGTATCGTACGCGGAGTGACTGTGAGATTGAGGCTGGAAGCTGAACAAAGGACTGAAGCGGTGATCGTGAAGAGACTGAGACTGGTGGCTGGAAGCTGAGGTCTGAGAGCGCAAAGCGAGGATTAAAGCGGTAACTGAAGTGGTGATCATGAGGTTGATCATATTGATCTTGTTAAAGGCAGAACAAACTGTCAGAAGGCGAACCATATAGGGGGGATAAAGATGTGTGTTATTCTGCAGAGGGCTACAATACTAATCAGGCCTGGAGGCCATATATATGTACATGTATGATTCCTTTGTTCCCAGGATATGCTTCCTGACAGATGCTCCAGAGCGACAAATGGCAGGGTGACCTCGACACCCTCTCCATAACGTCCCCTGTGTGTATTGGCGACGATGCTGTCTGTTTCATCGTGGACTTGAGCCAAGCATGCGGTACTCTTCGTTCAGCACTGATGTGGCTATATGGACCAGGGTTACACGGCATGGGATGCCGACCATGCCACCGCCCTATTTCTCTGGAAGCCAGGGCCAGAGACAGAACATCAGGCATCGCATAGGCCGTATCTAAGTAAACGACGACCAGAGTACACCTCCCTCCCTTGTACGCTGATGTTGCTTCACTTCAGCCTCCTACGCCGCAATTGGGCATGTCGTCTCGCTGTAAGAAACGCTTGTGAGGAGCTAGAATCTTACTGAATAGCGGCGCAGGAAACGAACCACAGGGTTGGTGCTTGGAGGAATGGGCAGTGTTACTTATCACGGGTAGTCTAGAACAAAAATGTCAGCTTTCTGAAACTTCTAGCTCAGGCTAGCCGTTGGCTCACAGGAGTCCTGGAAGAGATGAGTCGTGTGCGGCCGAATGGGGAAGCATGACCTGTTTGGAAGCTGCAGTCTTCCATTTCCCGTACTCCGTGTGCGACGGTCTGGGGGCATAGGCGTCTAATCTTGCGGCGAAGCCGATACGTGCCCTGCACTAATTGGTAGCGTAGGATGCGCTGTCAATAATATGGTGCAAGTGCCCCTTGTGCCACTGCTTCGCCACCGTTAAGCGCGACCTTCGTGTCCTTTAGACGACGAAGGCCGGAAAGTCTCCAAATATAAAAACATAACTAGTCTCCCTTTAAAGTTTTATGGTGACAGCTGATGAAAAATGTCCTTAGCATATATCATTGCCTTGTAACCTGCAACCGAATTTCTCGCGTAGCTTAAAACATTCACTGCAATCCTTCACTTCGCACCTAGGGCAGAACTCGAGGCCGAAGCCACAAGAGTCCTCATCAGATCTTCAAATCGAAACAGCCAATTCTTGACAATGTCTGATAGAGTCAGTAATGGCTCGGGCGGAGCTGTACGTAATTCCCATTCACTTCCCATCAGAAGCTCAAGGCGGACGCTGTTCCAACTTTCCGGCATTCTTACGTCAGCACGCTGGCGCCGAAGTCGTGCGTGAAAAAGCCTTTACTGACCGGTCCTGTAGTGGTGTGCGTAAGGCCAGATGTCGAAGTAGCACAACAGGGAGTTCTACGAAGAGGCACGCAAGCGGCGTGACGCCTCAGTGGCCCGTGGCCAAGACCCTTATGCCGACTTCAAGGAGTTGGTCGGCAAGGAAGGAAGTGACTCGCGGTTAGAGCGGGCTTGGAGACGTGTCATGGACGACCAGGAGGATAAACGACAGCAGGAAGGGTATATGGACGCGAGCAAAGAGCTGGGTCGAGACATGGATGGGCGGACCGAGTCACGAAACAGCCAAAACGAATCCACGAGCGGAACTGCTACGCGGAAGAGTACGTTTCGGCGGTTTTTCTCGAGGAAGACTGGACGGAACATGAACTCGTGAGACAATATGAAGACGATAATGTTGTGATTGGAGACAACATGGATTTGTACTCTCGATTATACGTCAAGTACTATCTATGTTGATGCCGCCATACTCATCTAGCATCTACCATTCCAATAAGATAACCTTTTTCCACATGTTTGCCAAGCCAATCATGAAACATTTAAGCAAGGGAATGCAGGTGCCGTCGCGGGAGCACAACACCCTCGGCCGCCATTCAACCAGCATGCGTTTATAACAGCATCACGATATCAACACGTGTAACAAAGGTCGAATACTAATGGGCAGATAATCGTCTTGAAGGAGCCGCCGCAGAGGGTCAACAAGTCCCCAACCACGCCGTTTTCGCTGGTAGGATCAAGACCGCCATGCCACTGTGGCTCAACCACCAGGAACAGCCGCGAGACGCTCAGACGTACAACTCCCCACCAATTCAGCGCCCACGTAAGAGTGTCTAAGACCTTCCAGTATGTCTGCTCCCACCTCTAGATGTCGTACTTCAGCCTGATATGATGTCCAGCCCTTGTAGGGCTTCGACCTGAGTTTCATTCTGCTTGAGCACCTCAAGCGTCCACTTTTCGTACGGCCATAAGTGAGTGATGCTTGGACAATTAATATTGAGTCAAGTGCAACGCCAATCCGCTCGCTGGGGAGGCGTGAAGCTTTTGTGCTACTACACTCAGCTTTGTCAGAGAACACCTGCAGCGACGAAATTAGTGAAATGGCAGAGCATTCATGTAGCACAGCTTAGGCGAGTGCCATTCACAACTTGACCTTGATAGAGTACTTCTGTCCAATGAGTGCTTCTGATGGCCACCGTGATATCGGGAACGAGGTGGATGTTATAGTCACGGTATGACATTCGTTCCGGTAGACTGATATGGCTACAGTGAATTGGGAGGGACACTTCACCACCTAACTCGACCAAAAGGTTGATGAGAAGCGGATCTATACTCGAACTACTTTCCATGAACGGCATGAGTGCATCCAACGAATACCTCCCATCACTGGGTGATTCAAACACCAAGCGGGTGTCTTTGAAGTGAAGGCAAAGACCGCTGCTTCAACGTGCCAGTAACTTACCGAGGTAGCCACTGAGAATGATATCAAGACGTCTTTTGGGCGGGCCCAAAGTGAAATTGATATCGTCGGTGGACGACAGCACAAGAGCACTTCGCGGTTGGCATGTACGACGTGTCTATTTGGGGTGGGAAAGTTCTGGGATACATTCTGGGGTCGGTGTTGATACCAGAAGGTCCCCGATATTGGTGTGTATTTTTAGGACCTTCTGAGGGATGTGGCATGGTGGCAAGACGAATTCATATCCTGCGGCTCAGCAGCCACGTAAGTTAACTCATAAGCCAGGAAACTTTGGCCACGATGATCGACTGTTTGATACCCAGAAGATACAGCGTCATAATCCTCCGCAGCGTCGCGGTCCCTCCTACACCACTAATTTCGGAATAAGTTACTGGTGATGTGACTGGTGATGTGATAGTATGGGCGGAACCACGGCGGATTTTGACGCCGTTCTGCCAGCCCATGTCGGCCACGCCGCATTCCTCACTCCTTTCAGCGAACGCTTTCATCGTCTCCAGTGACGTACATTGTTGACGGGAACATGAAAACAATGCAAATGACCTTCTTCTCACTTTTCTGATCACAAAATTCGCAAGCATATATCGCTTCGAACTTCGATAAACTCTGCGCCATCACAACATATCCACAAACGGCACATTTCGAACCACTCTGTACACCAAATTCAACCTACTCGCGCATCAAATACAGACCGTTGCGAACACAATATATCTTCCGGCCGAGCTGCGAAATGCGCTTTTCTTCATCCCTTCCAATAGACCTGCTGGGTCTGGCTGTCCAGGTGCATGGCTCGAGCAGCAGTGCGCCCTCGTCCGATGTGACAGCCCACCAGACACGCACCAACGAGACTCCATCCACCATGTACGACCACTGCACCATGGAAACCGGGGGAGATGGAGTTGATGGTTTGAAGCAATGCGACGAGGATGCCGGAAACCAGAGCAGTCGGAAGCGAGCAAGAGTAGGCAAAACCGGTATATATATTAGCAGCACTCGCTCGTGCGTAGTGGAGGAACGAACCCTTCGTTGCACGCACACGCAAGCAATCTAGCAAAATACGAACACGTGTAAATTCACAGGCTTCTGGGCAGCAACTCACTTAGGCCGGGTCGATTGCCCGCCAGAGCAGATGCTGCTTTCACCTCCAACGTCGGAGTCCGACGACGACGATTAGAACGTTATGGAGACGAGGGAGGCTATGACTGGATGAGCGGGCGTAGAAGGATGGTCGGCAGTGTGAATAGAGCATCATTGGGAAGGCCTTGAGATTGAGGTTACCTAGGAATGAACATACAGTCCTTACCTGAGGAACCTAAGTACGGCCGACCAACTGTATATCGATTGCAACACGTTGGCAAGCAGGAGTCTCAGTTCTTCGATTGATGCTGGTCTTGTAGTTCAGTGAGTATTTGATTGATAGGGCAGGATACCGATTTCCCACTTGTCTCCAGAAGAAAGCTTACCTACGTGATACCCAACGTGCCATGTGCGATTGCTTCTAGCAATCCAAGTCGACCACATCGGCATTAAGAAGTGCCCCTCAAGGCTGCATCTGCTTCCTCAGATCAGGTGAGAATTCGTCGACAATCAAGGCGGAAACGGGGGACAGGAAGCATCGCTGTCCAGAAGTACCAGCCTGACGAAGAACATCACAGTCAATGGTGCCGCAAAACCAAATGTGGGATGTGAACAGAGTGATCCGTATCGGCAACAATGTCTACACATAGCTGAGCAGTCGGAGGATGCCGAAACGGCTGAAAACTCCTAAGAACATAGAACGGGATGTTTCTGCTTCTCCCAGCTTTCTCTGGGTGCTGTTGACCTTCAGTTTTCAAGACCGTAACCGTGGGCTCAAGGGAGGGAGGTAACGCCCACGGTTAGGTGAGCGACAGAGCCCCACTCTGAAGCAATTCTGCCAGCAGAAAGTCTAGACCACCCGCGCCAGCTGCCCGACAGCCGAAGCTCCCCACAACACCCGGCCGACAGCCTGGCCCATGCGCAATCCGAATACTTAAACGATTTCTCGTGGCCGCCATCTAATGGCGTCTTCCTTTCCTGTTAAACTTACCTTGGAGACGTGGATTTTTTCTCAAAAAAAGAGTTCTCGAGAACCGGAAGCCTGCCTTGCACATCGCGGCGCTGACTGTGCTTTGGCGACGCCTCTGGTGTTTCAATCTCTGTAATTTTTGTTATTATTACACTCCCCGTCTCGTTTTCGTTCTGCTCATCACTGCGGTGGTGAGATGAGGAAGATGATTTCGGACGATGTTTCACAATGCCAGTACTTGCGGGCGCTTCGCTCTGTTGTAGTACATGCTAACTTCAAGAGGGCTTCTTAGAATCTGCGTATTCGGCAGTGGCACTTCTGACGTGTACCCATGCTCGACTTGCCGAAGGAAATGGAGGATTCAGAGATGCTCGCGTGATAGAAGACCAGCAAACAGGCTTGCGACGAGAAGCCAACCTGCAATGTCTACCGTTTGGCGTCATCGCGGTTCTCACAGTTCCTGCCCTGGGGTGGGAATCTATTGAGACGTCGCTAGATGCACGAGAGGACTTGCGACAGCGTGACGTCGCCAGTTACTGTTGCGATTGCCGCGATGGCCTCACCGTTACTGACCCCGACGCGCCCCACGGAATATTCCATTCACACCATGTAATCACGCAGAAGCCGGCATTTCGTAGGGTGCTCGTCTCCTGGGCACGTCAATCATATCCTCCTCCGATGCGCATTGCGGCATCTGGCATTTGGGGGAGGACCACCCAGACCGTCTACTGGAGCACTTGATGGAAGGGATAGAATAGCTTAGTGTACCGGGCTTCGGCGCTACGGCATACATCCTCCAGCGGCTCGGCCATCAGAGAGACCACAGTAAACGCCGTGCCACGATGGCGTCTATGGCAGGTTTCATACACCAGCTGATTTGGTTTCTCTCAGCGTTCTTTTAGCGTCATTTAGGGAAGTGCGGTATTCCCTACCTAGGTAGGTAGGTACTTGCTATTGGCGGCGTATACCCAACCTTCTACCTGCGAGACACGTTGGGGGACCACATCGCACGCACCGAGACGATGCCACAGCTACACGCAAGATACCCCGATTTCCTGCTCGCCAGGAGCAAATTCTCGTGCACATTCTCCCTTTGAGGAACGACTACCATGTCTGAGGCCCTCTCAGCCAAGCCGCCGTAGCCGCCCAGGGGGAAAACCCTGCTCCACCGCGCCCTCGAGGAGTTGGGCCTCACCTCGCTGCACAGCTCCCCGCTTGACGTCAAGCTCCGATGCGCGCATGCTCGCCTGCGGCGTGTCGACCTGATTCCCGTCGTCTACCTTGACGCCTCTGGGCACTGGCAACACGCAGATCGGGCTCTTCATGCCGGTGACGCCCGCGGGCGACATCTGGGTCAGCTTCCTCCTGACACTGTTCACTGACGCACTGGGGCGGCGGGCTGTCCTTGCCCTCGGGGCTGGTCTGATGACGGCCAGCGCGTGGTGTTTGGCTTGTCGGGGATTTATTGGGTGCATTTTGTTGCGGCTGTCGGGGGAGTTGTTAGCCCGAGGTACGTTTGAAGTCACTTCGCCGTTGAGATGTAGTTGCCAAGAGGAACGCCTCAGTGGCAATGAAATTGGTCCACTTCGTGCCGTTGAAGAGAGCATAGTCGCGAAGCTGACAGGCCACGGAACAAGAGCGGTGTCTACGAATGGTACGGCCTGGCTGGCCTGGCTGGAGCCGCCTGGGGTTTCATGACATGCGGATCGGTTCTGCAGTGCATTAGGAAAGTGCATGGATAGGAGCTAATCTATTCGCATCGCATCATTTGCTTTGGCTACGCTGCTGTTGGTATCTTGAAGCTTGTCCTGACTCTTCTCTTGAGCAGTTCCATCTAGTCTGCGAAGATGCAGCAGAAAGCCCATGAGCGCAATGATGAGACGACGGCACTGTTGGCTAATCGCTGGCATAGTGTAACAGAAGCAGGTCCTGATCGAGAAGAGGATGACGAGCGTTGCTTCCCGAGATCAGCAAGGACACCGTGTCTGTCGCTGCAGCCGTGGTGGCTTGGGCGGTGGGCAGGACATAGGGGAAATGGGAAACCTAAAACCTATTCGGTTGACGAATCTGACCAAGTCAGCCTGCATATCGACAGATGTATCTTTGTGTGCAAGCACTACGCTTCTTGCAGGGCTTTCCGACCAGGGGCCTTCTTTCTACCTATTCAGCGCCAGACGAACGATGTCGCGACCACCTCCCTCGCCTGTGAGCTAGCTGGGATGTCTCACCCAGTGTTTCCCCTTACTCCTGGCGAAAGCTACAAGCTTATTCCCCCCAGATTGTCATCCACCTCCTTCGTGAAGGGCGCCATCGACACCTTTCCAGAACCACGAATTGCCTCGCCTCGTCACGTCACCATTTGTGTTTCCCCGCTGTCTCTGCCACACTCACTCAGCCCCTCAACACCCTCGTCAACACCCGCGTCAGTCGAATCCATCTTGCTCAACCGCAACAACTCCTCTGCCACCTCGGTTTTCTCCACCTCCATATCCAGCTCCCTCTCCTTATCTCTTCCCTTTCCCTTTCCCACCCTGATTCAGGCTCCCAACCTGCATGAATATAATATTAACGCCAAACGGCCCCAGCACCATACCTAGATCGCCAATCCTACCCGGCTCCTCGTAGTTGTGCAGGATGGGCAGGGTACACTTGGGCATGAAGTTTCCCGTGAATCGTTCCAGCTTCAAGAAGAAAATACTGTCGCGGGCGAGACGTGGAAGCTGAATGACATGTCATGAATGAGATACGTAGAAATTCGCGGGAGGGGCTGGGTTGGGGGGGTGGGGGGGGGGCAAAAATGGAACTTCGATGCCCCCCTTTCTCGCAGGCCTCCCAAGTCTCCCGACCTGCTAGTGCAAGCTACAATGACTCCACCAAGTAAAATACGCATAGATCTTCCTTGTGCTGCAGTAGATCGGTCTATGAGATGCTCGTCAGACCACGGGTCACAAGCGGTGTGGTGCTCCGTTGCGAAATTGGCGTTGAGCGCTAAGTCCCAACGTCGACGAAGAATTTGGCAAAACCAAGATGCGTAGAAAGTAGAAGAAAGGGGTTGTCAGTGTAACCTCTTTATTTCGTTCGGTATGCATCGTTTAACTCTTGCTACCCTGCTCCAGGCGAGAGATATAGCAGCTAAAAGTTCTCCTTCCCAGCAAACCGCTCGTTCTGCACGACCTCGACCCAGTATCCATCAGGATCCAGCAGGAAAGCGACATTCTTCATGCGCCCATCCGTGAGTCGCTTCTTCCAGTTGCAGTCCATGCTCTCGAATCTCGAGCACGCGGCATCGATGTTGTCGACAGAGACACCTGTACGACAATAAGCATTAGCTTCTCATCCCCAAGCTTACATCATATCATGCCCTGCACCGAAGGACCGGTGGTTTGAGACCAGAGAATCACTCACAGATATGTCCAAACCCCTGCGGTTCCGCATTGCCGTCATGATACTTGAAACTGTCGTCCTTCTCGGTGCCATAGTTCCACGTCAGCTCCAGCAGGCCCTCGTAGTCGGCTGTGAACCCGTTCTCGGGCACGCCCTTGGAGCCCGGGTAGCCGAGGAAGTACAGGTTGAAGCCGGCGGCCGACTGCTCGACGGTGCGGAACAGGTTCATGCCCAGGACGTCCTGGTAGAACTTGAGCGACTTCTCGGCGTCCTTGACACGTATCATGGTGTGGTTCTGACCGGATTGTGTTAGCGGCGGCTCAGATGCTCTCCTCTCTTACCTCGTTGTGCCCGACGGTTTGACGGCAGAATGAGAGGATAACGAGCGTATCTCACCATGCGATAAGTCCCCGGATCCGTCTGCTGTCCCTTTTCCTCCGGGTCGTCCGCGCCCTTGCTCCCTATCATCTTGGATATGATCTCCACCCAATACCCGTCGGGATCGAGCGCGAAAGCAATGTGCTTCATCCGGCCGTCCGTCAGCTTCTTCTGGAACCGGTAGCCCGCATCCTCGATGCGCTGGCATGCGGCCTGGATATGGTCGACGCTGATGCACACGTGGCCGACTGCAACCCAGTACGTCAGTACCCAATATCTTCTAGCAACTCAAGCTCCCGAGCAGCGCTGTAGAGGGGCAGCCGGGTAGCGTAGCTGCTACTTACACCCACGGTGCGGCTCCGCATTGCCATTGTTAACCTTGAAATTCGCATCGTCCTCCGTGCCATAATTATGCGTCAACTCGATAACGCCTTCCCGATCAAAGGTGCTATTTCCATGCGAGAGGGCCTTCGGCGAGTCGTAGGAGAGGAAGTAGAGATCAAACTTGGCATCGGGGAACTGCAGCTTCTTGACCACGCTCATGCCGAGGAACTCGTAGAATTTGACTGTTGTGCGCTGCGCCGTCAGCCTCGTTTCTCATTCCTGGCGCTATCATCGTGGATACCACGGGTACCGGGAGGAGGTGGGAGGGGGCGTCGTACCGGATGCCTTCGGGTCCTTCACCCGGAGCCTGCGCGTCGTCTCTGTTCAGCCCGGCGTCTCCCCCGCATACTACGCGGGTTGTAGTGGTCTTACATGGAGTGGTTGAACTTGTAGTTCTTGGTATCCGTAGTTGTCGCCATGGCTGCGAAGGTTCGGCGCGTGTCTGGATTCTCGACTTAGCACACTTATAACTTCAAAGTCGCTTCTTGTTGCTTCACTTCCATCTAACTGTCGGGGATAGGCGGACAGGACTCACTGGCAACTTGTGTAACTGGTCGCAACAGAGAAGATTGTAGTCTGATTCGTTGCAAGGCGCGCAGCGTAGACATGGAACTGGGATGTGGGAAAGAGAAGTAAAGAGTCAATTGTTCGTGAAGGGAATTGATCGACGACGCAGCTGGTAAATACCTTATTGCCAATTGGGTTGAGGTGAGATGACGTCCACCTGCCGGCGCATTACATGACGTTTTAATTACAGTACTCCACATTCAGAGCCGCGGGGCACAATCGCGAGCATGGGTGGAGGGAATTCGCGACTCCAGCACTCCAGGTATCAATCCCCTGGGATTCGGCCACGAATTGACCGGAGGCTAGCGTGAAGCATTTTCACTGAAGATATCCATTGTTGTCTACCTAGGAGGAACCTCCCATGTACTTACTCTCCGTGTATTCTGTTTGCACAGACTGTGAAATTTCTGATGCGCGCAAAACCCCCTACTCCTGAACAAAAAAGCCTACACCAGCTTTTCCCAGGACCCCCATATGATACAGTGATCGATAGACAAGAAGGAAATACTCTCAACGGTAGACAAAAGACGCATCTTCCGGGTTGAACGAGACTCGGGCAACCGCACCCTGGACACTGTGTTATTCGGCATAGTTCACTTGGTGTGTCGCAACTGATACGACACGCGGAGGCTACTGCGCCCCAGTCGTATGTTGATCAAGAAGTCAAGATTACCAAGCGACAGAGCGACGCGCAGACTCGACGAGTTTGGCTGCCACTCCAGTAGCCTCACTAGCGTCAAAGTATTCGCTGGGTGTGACGAAGAATGCCAAGGCGATCATAATGTACAAGGCCATCAACTATGCTAGGGTCAGTCTCAATGCATCAAAGGAGCAGTGTAGGGGTTATTACCATAGCACCCTCAAGGTAGTTGGATTTTCCATCTTGGACGGTGTAGATGACCACCAGAACGGACAGGGCAAAAGCCACAGTTTCGACTAGATTCAAGTCAGCAACTAGAAGGACGAAGATGACGGATTCTACTCACAAGTCTCGAAGTGTAGATTCATACCACGGTCCATGATCCAGCCGAGAATGACGAGGAAGGGCGTCACGAACAGGGCGATCTGAATGCTCGAGCCAATAGCGACTCCCATGGCCTGGAAGCTGGTCAGTCTCGCAGCACTAGGTTCACGTTGTAACACTACTCACCAGATCCATCTTGTTCTTGATAGCAACCACCACGGCGGTGACGTGCTCCGCAGCATTTCCAACGATGGGGATCAGAATAAGACCAATGAAGCTGCGACTGATGTGGGCGCGCTCCACGAGGGAATCGATACTCTCAACCAGGTAATCGGCACAGATGGCGACCAGGACAGTTGTGACAATCAGAACACCACCAGCAGACCACGGGCTCATGTGTTCCTCCTCGGGTTCCTCGTCACCATTTCCGGTGGCTGCAGGGGTGGCCTCCGCTGCCCCGTTCTCGCCTTCGCCAGACTCTATCTGCGCGGGCCCAGCTTGGACATCAGCAGCCGGCTCGCTGCCGAACAAGTTGTGGTGTGTTCGTAGCTGGAACCACAGGTACAAAACGTAGAGCGTTAGGAGAATGACGGCTGTGCCGCGCGAGAGAGCTAGGATGGTTCTGTCGCGCTCTGCGACGTCTCCTTTACTGCTGGTACGAATGATCATGAATAGCTTTGTGGGTCAGTGCCACGCCCTCTCTGATTGAATGGTAAAGGGAAGCTTACAGCTCCAGGAAGGACCATGGATGCAGCGGACAACATCATCAAGGAAGCAGTGGTCTGAGCCGTTATGGTCGCAAAGGATTGCTCCGTTCCCTCGCCATTCTCGTCCCGCATGTTGACAATGCCGCCAATGAAGAAGCACATGCCCATCACCAGCAACAGGTTCGACAGGATGGAGCCAATCATGGACGATTTGACAACCTCGAACTGGCCGTCTCTGAGAGCAAGGACGCTGACCTGCACAGTAAATCATTAGTAGACGTGCGATAAGCTGGTTGGGGGCCGCCGTACAATCAGCTCGACCGCGTTGCCAAAGGTGGCATTGAGCAAACCACCCAGCGCCTCCCCAAGATTCACAGATATCTCCTCGGTAGCGAACGATAGCACAGCAGCGAGCGGAATGATGGCGAAGAAGTTAATGACGAATACAGCAACGGGATCCCAGCCTGTGTTCCCAGCGATGATTCCAAACGGTACAGCGAAAAGAAGGATATTGACGGGGCCTAGCACGGTCAGGTCAGCGCGCGGCCGTGCATCATCAACCCCCCAGAGTGTACGTACTGCTCAGCAGCGTAGCCTTCGCGATATGCCATACGTGGGCCGGGTATTTGACGTAGGGCTTGGGGTCGTCGGTGCCGGGCGTGTGCTTCGTGTTGAAGAAGAACTCCCACGTGGCACTGTGGCTCTTGGAGCCGTGGTGGCCGAGGATATTTCCGCCTCCTAATAAGGAGGTGCGCTCGTGGGCCTCGCCATTCTCGCGGGAATGATGGTGGCCGGGAGCCATGTTTGTGACCTTGCGAAGCTGGGACTGGAAACTGGGTAGAGCTATATCACGATAGGTTGCACCTCATGGTCAGCCGGCAATGCGCGCTGGACTGTGGTGGGAGAAGAAGAAGTCGGTATCGATTGATGACCATGCTCCACGGAGAACACTGAAGATACGGACAAAGGGCGCAACGAAAGGGAGAGGGTGGTGTTGGGCCTGAGTCGTGGGTCGAGGATGACATGTAACCGGGCAACATTGGATGGGAAGGACAAAGAGGGACCGACTATCACCAGATGTACTTACACCACACCATTTTGTCAGATATGCAGCTGTCCGAGTCTGCCGTCGGGGTAGATGGGGATAACACTTCCAGTCGCAGGCGAGGAATGAGAATGTGCAGTCGATGACCCGTGATGATCTTCGGTACGTGGCTGGGCGCTCTAGCTGCTCTTGGTCAGTCTTGGTATTGTCTTTTCATACGCCGAGGTAGTCTGGCGGTCTGGGCAGAGCTAACAAGTTGCCTCTCTGTCTGTCTGCTCGTTCCTCTCTCTGGATACCTTATGCGAGGCACGACAATGCACACTTTGTAGATGGAACGAAACACAAAACAGACTCTTCTGCCGCCAACACATAAACTGTGAACTTGGAGAAGCTAGAAGCGGGAAGATCCACAGGAAACACACTGACGTAGGCATCTGTCGCAGCAACCGCACCTTCCTACCCGACATCTCAACCTGGCAACCATGAAAATGCAGGCTCGCTAGTGTAAAACGTGGCGCGAGCTCTGGAGCAAGATCAGGCATCGGGGGCCCACCCCAACAAGCCAACAAGGGGGGAGCTTGAGCTTGGTCCAACGACATCTTCATCAATCAACTTCCCATTTCTTCAGTTCCTCAGTTGCTGCCTAGCAATTATATCTCAAGTATCAAGTCTTGACACAGATACGCAACAAAAAAAATTATCAAATTCCTCGCAATTGCGCCCCGATGCAACACAGAGCAGGTCTCCGCGTGCTCCGATCATCACAAAGTGTTGAAATCGTGCCAAGCGTGGCTGTGCAGGGAAAGTAGAGTTTCGCCGTCTCTGCTTCGGATGTTTTGCGCCAATTGAACATCCCGTCTCTCTACTAGCCTCGAAAAGAGCTGGAGGCCTCCCTCTCCCTCCTCCGCAGCTGCGGCATCCATGCATGTGCTGGGCAATCGGTATCTGCCGGTGGGTGGGTTAATCGATAAGAGCTGCCGGGTGCTTGCATGTCTAGCGGAGCCAAGCGGCAGCCAAGTAAGGTCTAGATGAAAATATTACCAAAGACTCGGCCGAACTCCACGACGTCGTTTGCAAGTGCAGGAATGCAAATTCTCAGACGATGCAGTCACCCACGTCCCAGCGTACATACAGCCGGGGGCTGTGCAAGTGAAGTGTATTATCTTCTCTATGAGCATAATCGCTTACATTAGATACATTTTGTTCATCTTGTTGCCAGTTGATATCGCAATTTATTCTCACAATCAATATGTAACTGTCGCTTACCAAGGTTCACGATGGCATCAACCGTCGCGCGAACCTGGATGGCAGGAGCCTACACTCACATCTCAGCTCAGTACTCAATAGCAAGCGCATCATCTCAAGCAAGTATTACTGGTAGCACAAGCACAAGACAAGCACAGCAGATTACCAACCACACCAAATGCCCCAAACAGGTGGGTAGTTCAGGTAGGGAGGGCAATACGTGTATTAGATGAAATGCATAATAGGGGGGATGCCGTTCTAAAAGCTGTCTGTAAAGTTGTAGGCGTAGCGAAAGCATCCTCTCATAACATCATTCGTTCATTTTCCAGGTCTCTCACGGGTCATATTCAGGGGGCTTCTCCTGATGACCAGCCGTGACAATTCGATTCCGCAAAAGACAATGTTAACGCCGTACCGATGGAAAGGGAAGAGCCATTCCATAGTTCGTCCCAGTCGTCGCATTACCTCGTCTCAACCTATCTCACCCGACTCTTCAGTCCGTTCGTTATTAGTTGTCGAGTAGGGAGATTCGTTTGACATCCGTCATCACATGAAGGCTGCAACCCGGTCAGTACATCACTTACCATCACCCGCTCACCGGCTCCGGCCTACCAGACCAGAACATCGTCGCAAAGCAAGGAGGGAACCCAAACTCACCTGCAGCATAAGCCAAGTACCAAGTAAGCGACGCCCCGCCATCAATCCACGACGGATCAAAATCCTTATCCGTGAAAAAACTCCACGCCGCCTGCGGGTCGACGGTAGCCAAATTCCCAAACAAAATGCCCTTCCAGCCACCATCGACCTTCTCGGCCCGTCCGTTATCAAACAGCGCCGCCCACTCCTCCTTGACAAACGCCGCGGGGCGCGTGAACTTGGTGCTGGGGATCAGCGGCAGCATGTGGATGCCCTGCACGTACTCGATGTTGCCCCCGAAGTACGTCGTGTGGTCGCACTTGTTCTCGAACATGATGCCCGCCACGCGGTTCCCCACAAAGTTGGCCGGCTGCACCGTGTTGCCCGAGCTGTACAGGTAGTACTCGTTGAGGGACCGCGAGAGGATCGAGAGCATCAGGTTGCCCCTGTTGTGCGCACGCAACGCGGCTGGGTTAGTCTCGAGTGTCACTGCCCGCATGTCCGGGGTCGCACCGGTGACTTACCGGGCTTCCATGTTCGCGTCTTTGATCGTCTTCCCCCATACCTTGATGGCGTAGGCGGCCAGAGCGTCCTCCGAGCTTGATTCTTGATCCTATTTGCAAGAAAGTTCAGCCTTGGTTAAAATGTTATGAAGTGTGGTTCAGACGCAAAGTCTCCTCACCTTTCCATCAAGAGTCTCATACAAGCCATGAGCCCAGCTGTGGCCATGGTACCAGTCAAAGTTGCGCGAGACAGGGAAGTACTTGTCGGTGTTCGAAGGGTTGGCAATGTCTCTGACCATGGTGTTGATGTAGTCGACATTCTCCTTGGTCAGCCAAGACGCATCCAGGTAGCCTATGATCGCAGCGGCATAGATGAAGTAGCCGTAGTGGAAATGGTGGTCGTTGTAGAAAGTGTTGCCAAAGTCGGCACCATTATTTCCAGTCTCGTATGTAGCCGAAGAGACAATACCGCCCCATGCACCTTTGGTCTGTTGTCAGTCCCGCACCCCTCCTTACCTGTGTACGAATACGAGAACTTACTCTCGTAGTACAGAGGATACTGTTGCTTGTTTGTGATGAACCGAGTGAAAGCCGCTTTCAGGTTTGTCAATCCACTCTGAGCCAGCTTGGGGTTCTTCAGCAAATCGTTGGCCGTGTAACACAGCATTGTAAACTTTGCAAGTGCCTATTGGATGGGTTAGTCAGGTCTTCGGTTCCAGACAGAGGTAGAAGAGCCTTGCCTTTCCACTAAAGTACATCGAGTTCTGGTTCGACTGCTGGTCGACGTTCTGCGACAACTCCTTCACCGCTGAGGCACTGACGGTGCTGACACACGAGTCCTTGAGGGTTGTCTTGGAGCCAGTGGCAGGGTCCCAAGGAGCAAGGTACATAGAGACGGGCATGTTTGGTTCGACCATAGTCCACGAGTCAGCAACAACTCCCACCGCCATGCCCTTGGTCGTGGTCTGCAGCTTCGCTGTCGACGCAGCCTTAGAGGTATTGTCGTCAAAAGAAGCGACATGGTGCGGTAGGGCATACATCAGCAACTTGACGTCGGAGAAGCCTGCTTTCTGGAAGGTGAGAGTGTATGTGCCTTTCGATCCAGACGCCGTGGCTGATAGCGTAGCACCAATCGGATAGGCCCCAGCAGCAGCGTCTATTATGGCCTCCGCATCACCGGGGTCTTTTGCTACTTGGATGAAGCCATTGAATGGTTTGGCAGCCTTTGCCAGCTTGCTGCTGGACACTTGGAGGTCAAGCGCATCACCACTCGTGGAGCAGGCATAGACATGCCACACCTTGCCGTCCTCCAGGGTTATTGAGTACTTGGTTATACCAGGCTTGGGTCCCTTGCTAGACTTGGTGATTGTCTTGAAGAGGATACCCGATTCGATTTGAGGGGTACTACCTTTGTAGACCGCCGTGACAAGCCCCATACCTTGCACCATTGGATAGGTGATAAGAGGGTCCCCTTGAGCACTGGCATGCAGGTTGACATTGACAGAGTGCGAATTGAGGTTGTCAGTGGTCAGAGAAGTGGTGGACCCGAGTTCCACAGCCGACAGACACAGGGACTGCACCCCAGTAGGGCTCAAAAAATACCTGGCTGCACCCGTCTCTGGCAGCACCTGGCCGTACACTCTCTGGTTTGCCTCGATATGCGAGATCGACATTCCCCAGCTGGACGTGGCTCCTTGACCCTTCGCCCACGCCAGAGAATACGGGTGCACATATGCCGGAGAGTTCTGGCCACCGAGGAAGAAGTTGGCATAGAATTTGTTGGTGCCGATAGGTGGACTGCCGGTGACTCCAAGTCGAGGTACCGGATGATCTTTTCGCACCTGGAAAACCGAGGGCGGTGCAGTGGTTGCAATTGCTGCACCAAAGATGTTGGAAGATGCTGTAGCGTTGTCGGTCATCTTTGCTGTGGTTTCCTTTGTTGAACTTGTGTTCGCTAGATTTGGCTTTGCCGTGCTCGTCTCCGCTTGGCGTGCTCTTGTGGGACCGGAATTTGCTGAGCTTGCCTTTGCTGGACTTGTATCTACCGGACTTGGGGTTGCTGAGTTCGGCTTTGGCGTGCTTGTTGGTATCGCCACGGGTCCGAAGGGGACGATCAACGACGTCGGATTCGGAATGGGATTTGTCAGGAAAGGAAACTCGGATACTCGGCCGCCAGTTTCGAGGCTCGTGAATATGATGCCGGTCGTATCGGGCTTGTCACCACCTGTGGTCAACGGAGGAAGGATCTGCACGGCTCCCGGAGATTCTGTTACCGTGGGAACTGCAACGGACTGGTAACCTTCGCGATTGGGATCCCTGCTTGATGAAATCGGCGAATATCCTTCTCGGTGAGGATCCTTGTTTGTCGATATCGGCGAGTACCCTTCTCGATAGGGGTCTTGTGGCGGTACTGCTTCGAAGCTGGTTCGTTTGAGCTTGGTACTGTTCGAGTTGTCGAGGGGAACCTCCCAGCTAATATTTACCTGGAGCATCATAAGTAACAGAAGCAGCAACATTACATCAGCAGTAAGGGGATATCAGGGGTGAGAAGGGGGCTAGGAGTATGCAGAAAGAAAAAGGGGTTATGTCATCTGGTTTTTCAGAGCTGTTCGCGCTCGACTCGGGTGCTCGCGTGACGGGAAAGAAAGCAAAGAACGCGTATGACAAGACAGAGTTCGCGTATAGTCGTAAAGCAAGGTTGAACAGAATAATCTGCATGGTAGTTTGGATTCAAGCAAGATCGGGCTGATGAGGGCACTTGTACAAGCCTTCGACCGGCATCGTGGGTTTTCGGCCGAGTTCACCGGAATAAATTGGGTAGACCGGGCAACAGAAGGGTTATGCTTGGCAACGTATTGCCACGAGGCGATGGCCACGAGGCCCATCGTATAGGAAGAATGGGTTGTCTTGGACGCACGTGGAAAACTGCTTACCTTCAAGCCAAGCGCCGACTAGCGGAACTCTAGAAGATGCTCTGGAATGAGAGGACGAAAATGGCGTTCGCGTGGAAGAGGGACGCCGGCGAAGTATACCAAGAACTGAGGAATATAGTGGCCTATGGCTCCGGAGATTCCAAAACTGGGGATGGGATGGTTTATAGGTGTGTAAGGTGGGAGTAAGCAAATAGAGGGATGTCTCGTCGTGGGGACTTCAGAGATGTAGGACGAAAGGCCGCGCTGACAGACGGAATGGTATCTTAGACAGAGTTTAAGCTCAAGGTAGGTCCATGTGAGACCTCCTGGTGCCGCCATGCTCGCTCGCACCTGCCACTGTCTCGTCTGTCGGTAGGCAAGCGAGACACTGTCCAGACAGAAGCCGCGACACGACGTTGGCAAGGGTGGTGAGTCTGAATGTCCGTAGGTAGGTGTCTAGGTAGGTAGGTAGATCTGTGACTGTGAAAGCAACCCAGGAGGTCTACCAGATTTGGTCAATCTTATAGTCTGATGGGCCCGAGGTAATCTGTCTTCAGTCTTCAACAACCACAAAAGCATACGGAAAATTGGTGTCATGACCAGAGGTGCCCTACTGTGAATTTCAGGCTTTCTGTTACCTGACTTCCAGAAACTACCTAAGAGTTGAGCCGCGCCTTGTTTCAGCAATGCAACCTGGGTCACCTCCCCAGCTGAAAGCTCACTTTGTCTTGCATGTATCCAAATCTCCCGTGCACAACTGAGTGTTGATTGGTAGCTCAGCTCTGCGGCAATGAGGGTACAAGCCAAGATAGTGATACATTTTGAAGGCATGCTATGTAGAGGTAGGCTAGAAGCCTTCGCAATCACAGCCCAAGCGCATCGTACTGGCCCTCGGCATATGACTTCACCCTCTTGATGCGAGACGAGTGCTCTGCTCTCATGCTCCGAGATTTGGCACCCTCTCCTGACTTGTCCCGGCCTGGGGCGTATCCGTCAACTGGTCGACGCCTATGACTCCCAAGGCTGTTGGCCATCAGTCGGCTGGGGAGGCTGCTGTTCTCCACCGCGACTTCAGCCATCTTCTTAGCCTTCTTGGATTCCTTCTCTTCGCGAATCAGCTCGATGTCTTGCAACTTCTTCCACCGGCGCACCTCCCTGTCCTTCAGCACCCAGGGTCGACTCAGGACATCTCGCTGGAAATCGCGGATCTTGTTCCAGAACTGGACTTCCTGCTCTGTCGACCTGATGTGTTGTAGAGTCTGGATAGCAATCTGCTTCTGGTCCCTGAAGAGCTTGACGCTGCCCCTGACCTCGAGTACCATGCCGATATCGACGTCCAGCGTCGGCTCCGGGACGGGATGTGTATCGCTTGCGGTGTCCGAGATATTGCCCTTTGTAGCAGCCAAAGCGTCCGGTTCGCTGCGCCCTGCTTTCTCGTTCTGGAGTTTGGTACTAGGTGGTTTCGGGATCGCTAGCGCGCACTCGATACACTCGCCCGTGCTATCGTCGATGGTGTAGATGCGGCGGCCGTAGTATTCGTCGATCGCGACGACTACTCCGGTGACGCGCACCCATCGGATCGGGTGGTTCAGGTGGAAGAATACATCGCTCTCTGGCAGCAATAGCATAGTGAGCCAATGAATGCATCCAACGGTGCCGTTGAGGACGCCGACTTACCTTTGTAGCTACGCTGGCATTCAAGGCCAACAATGTCAGCGGCACGTACCGGGCACCACTTGTTGATAGTCGGGGACAAGTGAAAACAATACGAGGGGTAGTAGACAGGCGATGCAGTTTCAGCACCTGTCATCGCATTTTGTAGATAGCAGGATTGCGCGAAGCAATTCTTCCCATGGGCGGAGGGGCTTGGTGTGTCTTGGATGGAGGGTTGAAAATGGCGGGATTGCCCAAGACGACGCGACAGACGCGGCAAGCTTTAAGTGACGAGAATTGGGGTGGGCCGACCCCGCAACCACCACCGCCGCATCGTCGGTACCGATGGAGTTGGTAGGGTTGGCCAGGCAATATCCGACCGGGAGGGTGCCCAACTCATGATACTCATTATGAACAGGTAGACGGGATAATGTGCAGAATCCCAGTGTCCATTTCTGCGATATCGAGATCGTCGCAGCTACTGCATGTACGCCAACCTAGTATACCTGACCGCGTGAAAACCATCGCAAACCCCCCTGGAAACGCCTCGCCATGCCGATTGGCAAATTTACGCCGCGAAAGAGTAGACCAAATAACCGTTACAGACAAAAGACCTCACCCGATTCACTTCTTGCCCTTCTTCTTAAGTCTGGAAGCAGCAGCCTGGAAGGCTTCCTCTGAAGGCTCTCCGTCGTCCACCGCGCCGCGCTTCTTCCCCTTCTTAGGCGCCGGCGTCGCACCGTACTTGGCTGCCAGGTTGTCCAGGAAATCGCCTCGGCCCTGCTGGTTGCGCTGGATGAGGGCTGCCAGATCGTGTTCGGACGGTCCTTTCTTGCCGCCCTTCTTCTTCCCCTTCTTGTTGCCAAACAGATTGTCGTGCACGCCGAGTTCCTTGGCATATTCCTCAGCCTCGGTGGCCTCTTCTTTCGCGACTTTGACTCGCGCTTCCCTCTCCTCCTGACTCTCCTTCGTGTACGGCTGGAACGCCGGAACGTCCTTGTTCGCGATCGCCTGGCCGATGATCTCGCGGAACCGCTCGTCGTCTTCGGTGGGTTCGCTGAGCATCACGACCTGGTATACCTTGTTCATGTCGCCCTTGAACTTCTCGTACGCCGCCAGCAGGTCGTCCTTCTCCTCGTCCGACCCCTTGTACTTTTCCTTGAACTTCTCGATCGCTCCACTAGATATCGAGTCGCGGAATTGTTCGCGATAGTAGTCCGACCAGCTGAAGCCGTCCGAGTCGACGATGGATTCCGAGGTCGACCCCGTCTCGTCGTAACGCTTGCGCCGGGTCGGGTCGGAGAGTACAGCGTATGCGCAGGCGATCGACTGGAAGGTCTCGTGCGCCTTCTGCCTCTGTGCCTCGGGAACCTTGTCTGTGAGTCAAATGGGCGTGAGCGACAGTGCAAATATGACAATCAGTGATTCGAGCGTCCTTATGCTTGCCTGGGTGGTGCTTCAAAGCGCTCTTTCGATATGCTGTTTTGATTTGGTCTGCAGTCGCCGTGCGCTCAAGAGCCAAGACCTCGTACGGGTCAATGATGGGCGGCTCGCCCGCGAGGAGGTCGCCAGAGGCGTCCATGGTGAGCGAGTGGGCGTGAGAGATGCCTTGACCGAGTGTCGAGAAGTTGAGAGGATTGTGTTGCCGTGCAAGTCCTCGTTGGAAGACCGAGCTGCGGCGGGCGCGTCTGACGCGTTTCAAGGAATTGAGCCGTCGGGGCTTAATCGATAAGCCGCCTGAAGCTGACGGCCACCTTTGACAAAAGCGCGGGGCAGTCGCGGGGTAGCTCTGTGGACACACACACCTTCCCACCAAAAGTTTGCAGTTGGAGACGGTCTGGTAAGTACAAGTATTCACACGAGTCGATCTAAGGTTGAAACGTAAATATATTGCTCCCCTTCTGATACATACATATTGATGGGTATCTCCCAGCTTCCCATGAAACCACAGCCCAAAACTTCACACAATGGCCGAAGACACTTCTCTCTCCAGCAAAGACATCAAGGCTGGTGACCACCAGGCATACATGCGACTCGCTCTCTCACTGGCGACTAAGTCACCACCAAAGTCCACTAACTACCGAGTCGGAGCTCTACTGCTGGACATAGCTACGAACGAGGTGCTAACGACTGGCTACACGCTCGAGCGCCCGGGCAACACACATGCAGAACAATGCTGCTTCGAAAAGGCGGCAGAAAAATACACTGTCGCAACAACTCTCCTTGGTGAAGCTCTGCCAGACGAAGTCGCACTTTACACGACCGTGGAGCCATGCTCCCAGAGGCTCAGCGGCAACCTGCCCTGCGTCGACAGGATACTGGCTGTCGGGAAGCGGATCAAGACGGTCTACGTAGGGGTCCAGGAGCCGGAGAAGTTTGTCAGCGACAACTCTAGCAGGAAGAAGTTGGAGGATGTTGGGATCGAAGTCGTTCATGTTGCCGGCTTGGAGAAGGAGATATTGGAAGTTGCTACCGCTGGTCATGAGAAGCTGTCATGATCGGCACACCATGCAATGACTTTACGCGGGCAGGGCTCATAAATAGATCGAGGGCCCTGGGAGAAGCTGCTCGCTATATCTAGGTGCATGGCCCTGACCCCCATCTCATCGGCAGCAACATTCTTCAGCATCCCCCGGTAGCTCTGAGAATCACTTTGACCAGCGTATGTGGACTACATGTACCAAAGGCCGGATCAGTCGACAAGAAGTTCTCGACCGACTTGTCCTCCCAAGGCGCGCCCACTGGAGATCCCATTCAGTCGCAATCCATATATGAGTAGCCTGTGAGCCAATCGTCGTGTCTGCTTCGGCAATTTTCACTTCGAAGAAATCCTGAGTAGTCTTTCTTCCTCGACGACCAAGAATGCAGTAGAGGAAGCTGACCCATCGACTACCGATCTGATCAGCTACCGTTCAACAGATATCTGGACTGGGGCGAGCTGGAGAGAGAGGAAGATGGCCTGGTCCACTACCAAAGACCATTGCCAGTGTGCCACAGACAGCGGTGAGCGAGCCACAACATTGGGTCTCCGGGTACAATTACAGCCGTAACGGTTCTACTTACCATCAACCACCCGCCCGGTTAGCTCAATCGGTAGAGCGTGAGACTCTTAATCTCAAGGCTGCGGGTTCGACCCCCGCATTGGGCTCAAATCCCTATGCTTCTTTGTAAAAGAGAAATCGCCGTCGTTTCCCGCAATTTTTACCCCCTAATTTTTGATGTTTGATTTTCCCTACTCTGGCCGACGACGCTTTGTATAAAAAGCAGACCGTCGAAGGCGAGTTTCATGCTTTAATCGTATAATCTTTTTGAAGTGCATTTAGAAAGGTTATTTTGCTTCGCTAATAAGTTGCTGACTGGGCTGGGAACACAGCATGGGGTGAGCAATTTATCCAATATATACACACGAAATACCACACACTTCAGCCTGCCCAGGCGAAGTCGAAAAGCGAATCACTTAATCATCCATCGCATCACAGATCAACGTGTAATGAATCTCGGCACATGGAATGCCGATCAACTTCAAGACGCGCTCCCTCGGGACACGCTCTTTCAATCAGCCTCCCCGCGCCTAAGGGCAAAACTTGCCGTTGCGCGCCACTAACAATGCCGTCATCCACCAGCCTCGCTACGTCCTGATCTGTACGGTCCCGTTCTTATCATGCCGAAGACTTGACTGGCATTGTGGAAGATCAACGGACCCTCGATAAGGCTTGTAGGTACCCATGTGGCTCCTCAACCCATTTTCCAGCCACAATGACGGATGGGTCACGGACCAGGATACAAGGTACCTTGGAGCCCAACGGGTACCCGTTTGTACCTGATTTGTACCCAACTGGGATGATAGCTACTTCTGGGATGGGGACACCACCCATCCCTTCTTTCAATCAAGCAACTTCCAGAATACAGACCAATAGCCACCTATCGTGACCCTGGTCCTTATTCTGGATACCGCTACCACAAGGCACACCCATCGAAGTACTCGCTCTCGAGCCACTTCATGCCGTTCTCAGTGAAGCCGAACTGTTCGAGCTTCAGGCATGAGTGGACGACTCGTCCCGTTCGACCTCCTTGAGGTGTGCTGGGGCCTATTGCTGGTCCATGTAGAGGATGAGACCCCATTGGTCGAGATGGACAGCTCTCTAGAGCCCTGAGGAACGTGGGTACCTTCATGTATAACCAGGTGGACTTCACATGTTCCTGATCCCGATGAAGTCAGGTCTCGCTGCGCGGTAACGTCAGAGCTTCGTGCCCGTTTGAAAGACGGCCTCTCTCTAGTAGGAACTCTGAATCAGAAGACGGCATCATCATCGGGAGTCATACTGAGCTTTGACATAACGCAGCTCGCAACGGCCTCCTACCTGGCTGCCAAGTCAACCTGCAGTGCCGACACTGACAAACGGCTTCCGAATGGAACGATCAAGTCCTTGTCATCTCACACCTTCTTGGGAGCCGCCAGGCTCGCCGTGTATGTCTCACCCCGTTTTCCGCAGGCGACGTCGCAGCTGGGGACCATGCCCTCCTCGTGCAACACGGGCAGGTTGCCGCTGTACGATGAGGTGGTCATCACGTGCTCAACGTGTCGGGAATTTGGTGGCCAGGGGGCAGAGGTCTGCTGGCTTCACTCGTACTGTGTTTTGAGTTGTGATATGTGACGAAGGCGCAGGAGTTCACCAGGTACTACTGTATCATGGAACTCGCGCGTTGGTACAGCACTGGCGCCCCTGATCACTACGCACCCGCGGACCTTTGGGCGTCCACCGCCACGAATTGAGCGAGCATTCCTCTGGCCGTAGTCCTACTGGGAAAGTTCAGCTACCCGATAATCCGGGGGCGGTGATGTCAACTGCTTTTCCACATCGTGCCCGCAGCATAGCAAAGCGTCCGCGTACCTTGGCGGGACACCATCCCCCCTTTCACAACCCTGCACGGGACATTCCCTACACGTAGGTCCAGGTTTGTCTGGTCCGGCTCACGGCGAGACCTGGGGTACATGTAAGTTGGGGCTTGATGCGGAGACAGCTAAGTGAGACCGGCTAGGTGCTGAATCTGGAAGGAGACAGTCACCAAACGAGCGAGGGCAGTCCCAATCTGTTCCCATGGAGGTTTGAGGCTCTATTCCCAGATGGTATTGTGCCACCGTAGTGAATTCTCACCTGGCTATGTCCCACCGACCTTGCACCTGAGTACTTGCCATGAGGCCACCTACGGTAGCATCGCTCTGCAACAGCATCTGACAGGCGTGGACACGTGCCGCAAAAGATCTCGATAGGCTGGAATAGGCTGCTTGTATGGATTCCTTTCTCTGTCAGATTCCGTCCCGGAGCGCATTTGAGGGGTAGAAGACATGCCGATCTAGGAGCCGACTGGTTTGATGCAGCTTCATAGGTGAATCTGGTGGTGACCAGGCGAGTAGCAAACGCCCGGCATGCGCCGAGAACGGGACTGGGCAGTTGTACATGGCAGCCTACCTTACGGCGACCACATGGAAGTGCCATGCTCTCACCCTTTCCCCGACACAGCAACCCGCATTGCCACCTCACCTGGACCAGCGGTAGGGTCTGCCAGCAAGCACCGGGCTAGGGCTTGCCGACAGCCGGTTAGCGACCGCTGAGACGCGGAGACTGGGGTTGATGACCCGCGTCAAACGTTCATGTCAGTACTTTATCCAATGAGCAGATGTAGTTGCATTTGCAGGGCTGTGATGGATGGTAGGAAAGCGCGAGCATGGGCAGCTTGTAGCAAACAAGAACGACAGCTGGACGATGCGATGACGACCTGTCTCGGTCACTTCTTCAACAGGTGTCTTGCAGTTGCATGCAAGCAGGCAAGTTGCCAGCCAGGGTTGCGGCAGATAGCCACATGCAATACCTACCACGCAAACAGAAGAATGCAACGTCAGCCAACATGATCTGACGATCTCCCAGGAGCCAGGTCTGGCGCGTCAGACCCCTGCCAGGAAAAAAGCAACGTCAGGATTCGGGAGGGGGCGGTGAAGACGCGTTCAAAGTGGAAATATCAACTGCCCGTTTGTGCACTGCCGCCTGCAGGTGTCGCGACAGAGCTTTGCCTATTAGACAGAAGCTCAGAATCAAGGTCAAACAGACAAACATACTGTGACTCATAAATTGAGCAGATGTCCGTACCTAGTTTGCTACATGTAACGGATGTAAGCTGCGATTTAATATCTCCATGTTCACTTTCACTGACCTGCTGCTGCAGATATCAGATCAAGGTGGCTGGGACAGGCGCCAGGCGCTGAGGCAGGGATAACCTAGCAATGCGCCACAGCGCGCGCTACCGATGTCAGTTTAACCCCCTTGCGGTTAGCGCTGATGCCGTCGCGGGAGGGTTACGGGTGGGGCAGTGAGAGGCTGTGAGGCCGGGACTTGCAGACACACAATATTTTGCAGTCACGCGAATGTCAACATAATCGGCGCTGTCTGCAAATTATTGCACCTCTCGGATGTTCCTATTCATTCCTATACACACCGCCGCCGCTTTTCATCTACAAGTCAACCGGTGAGCTGATTCCACGATTGCAATTGTAAGTCTCCATTTCTCTACCTATCTCAATCATTCAATGTTCTGTCTGATGCACGGTGGCCACGGTGTCATACATGATACATCAGCCACCTGCAGAATGGACCATTGAGGGCAGGGCAGCAGGGCAGCCCTGACTTCAACCATCGCCGCCACGGTGGGCCTCACGTCCAACGGTCGAACCTCCGGCCGGCTAGCTGCTAGCCTCCCTCTTTCACGTCCGCCATTCACTTGTTCACTTCATTCCTACTAGGCATTCACATATCTGCCTCTCCCCAGTTGGCAGTGATAGTGACGCGCACAGGCATCCGACACAGGTAGCCATTCACCTACAGTTTCACTAATCTGCTGTGCATATACCAGGTATATACTACACACAGCCTTCTTTGTCCGTGTTTCGGTCAGCGAGACCTACATCACACTGCCTACCATTGACGAAGCGACCGGCTTCGTTTGGATGCAGCCGAGAGACATCTGACATCTGACACCTGCTCGTCAACCAACGAGCGCGTCAAAGGTCAAGGGTCAAGGGTCAAGGTTGGCGCAGAGTTTGTTTGCTGCCGTTCACACCATCATCGACATGAACCTCACGCTATCGTGCAAACGGGCGAAACCCAATCGGAACAGGAGCCTTGATCACACATCTCCTCCTCGCCACGACTTCCTGCATCTTTGACACAGTATGCAGTCAACCTGACAAATCTCCAGTCTCGTCACACACTAGCCTGAGGATTGTTGCATGCCCGTTCTTTGCTGTACCCTTTACTCAACAGCCAACCATCCCTCAAAGCAACCCTTTGACAGGAACTGGTTGTGCAGTCCCCAAACTGCGAGACGGCCGAGTCTTCTTCCTCCACAGTATCCTTCTGCAATATCAGATGAAGTATATATCCAGCATTTGGATTGCTATCATTCATCCCATTCCAAGTCCAGTACCTTGTACCCGTCGTCTGCAAGAGCTCATCTCCCTTGCAAGCTGCTCACTCAACCACTTGCTTACCATCAACACCCCCAAGACCGGTGCCCACTCTATACCACAAGTTCATCACCTGACCACCCACGATGTCGGACCGAGGCAGAGGTAGTTTCCGAGGAGACCGTGGAGGAGGTGGACGGGGCGCACGGGGTGGACGGGGTGAGTATCGTGGCGGCGGCGAGGGCAGGGGACGTGGTGGCGGGGACCGTGGGGACTCGTACGGAGGACGTGGCCGCGGAAGAGGAGACTACGCTGGCGGCCGTGGCGATCGTGGGAGTGGTTTCCGTGGCGGTCGTGGCGATCGCGGTGGTGGTCGCGGCGGTGGTGGTGGCCGGGGAGGCTTCACCGACAAGTTTGCCGGCGAGACTCAAGTCTTCACGTGCGTTGCCGACCCATCTCCCAGTCTTCTTATGGTATGCTTATGTTATACTGACGGGAAACTTACAGACCTCCTGGCGGCATCCCGGCCCCCGACAACAGAGTCACCGAGCTCGAGAACAAGATTCTCAAAGAACATGGTGCTTCAGACATCACGACCAAGATGTCCAAAGTCCAGATATCAGGAGGCAAAGCCGAACAACCATCGGCTGACAACTGGTTCCCGTGTCGTCCAGCTTTCGGCACGAGAGGCGTAGAAGTTACTCTGTGGGCGAACTACTTCAAGTTGGAGGTCGAGGCTCGAACCTTGGCCAAATACTCCCTCGATGTCTCGGGAATACAAGACAAGAACAAGGGCCCCAAAGGACAGCCCCGCGAAGCCAAGGGGAACAAACTTCACAGCATCATCAAGTCCGCGCTCGAACAGGTTGGCCGGGACGTTCCCTATGCGACCGAGTTCAAGGATCAGGTCATATCTGTCACCCCTCTTTCTCTGCCTGCGAGCAAAGAGATTGTCGTCAAGTATACTGACGAGGGCAAAGACGACGAGTACAAGGTGAAATTTAACGGACCGATTGATGTCGACCTCGGTCAACTTTCAAACTACTTGAATTCCATGCGGGATCCAACTGGGAGCACCTCGTTCCCCAAATTTGAAGACGCAATTGATGCCGTCTCCATAATTACTGGCTTCCAGGCTCGTGGCAGCGATCAAGTTGCCTCATTGGGACGAAGTCGGTATTTCCTGCTCAACAAGGCGTCAGAGGCGTATCCGATGGGGTTCCCTGGTTTCAACACGATTATCCGCGGCATCTTCCAGAGTGCTCGTCCTGCCACTGGGTATCTACTTCTCAATGCCAATGTCGCTCACGGCGTGTTCCGACCCTCCGATTTGGTTTCTGAATTCATGAAGAAGTTCGACACGGATAAGCTTCATGAACTTCACAAGCTTCTGTCAAAGCTGCGGGTCCGATGCAAGATCCTGACAGAAGGGAAACCGGAAGAGTTCCGAGTGTTCCAGAAGGCTATCTGTGGTCTCGCTGACAAGCACGATGGGACTGGCGCGAATCGGCCCAGGGTCCCAGCCCTCGGTGCCACCCCTTCCCAGGTCTCTTTCTTCCTTCGAGCACCAGCTCCTCCTGGCATCAAAGAGGACTCGTACTGCACCGTTGCCGACTTCTACTTGAAAAGTAAGCAGCACGCACCTATTGCAGTTTACCAGAAACTAACGTCGTCTAGAGTACAAGTACAAGTGCCAGAACTGTCCTGTTGTCAACATCAAATCCAAGGTGAATCCGGTCTACATGCCTGCCGAACTTCTCAAGATCATTCCTGGTCAACCACTCCGCCGGAAGACAACACCGGATGAAACCCGAGACATGATTAACTTCTCATGTCGGTCACCGGTTGCAAACGCGACGTCCATCTCCACTATGGGACGCGAATGTCTTGGGCTCGATTCGAGCGGAGAACTCGTCAGTAGATTGTTTATTCTGCTCTGTAGACGCATACTTACCTGCTAATTTGATACAGGCCGAGTTTGGTATCACCGTCGACAAGAAGCTGCTGACGGTGAAGGGACGCGAACTTCCAACTCCACAGATCCTCTACTTAAACAGCAAGATGTCCCAGCAGACTCTAAACGTTTTTGAAGGAGGGTGGAACATGCAGGATGTTCGATTCATAAGACCAGGTGCTAAGATCACCAAGTGGACGTGGGTCCATATTGACTTCGCTGGCCACTATGCTCATTCGAAGTATGAGTTGGTAGCCGATGCCATGAAGGACTGGATTGCTTTCATGCGGACCATGGGCATTTCCATTGCCGACAGTCCTCTTCAGCCTGCAGGTGCGAGGATCGCTGTACGCCAGTCGCCGATTGATGACCTGAGAAACCAGTTCAAGGCCATCAAGAATGCAGGTGCTCAGTTCGTGTTCATCGTCCTTCCTGGTAGGAAAACCGAGACGAGAGTCTACAATGCGGTCAAGACTTTGGCCGATGTCGAATTTGGCTTTCATACGGTCAATGTCCTGGAAAACAATCTCATCAAAGGGAAGAGGGCTGTAGGAGAACCGCCGCAGCGATCACAGCTTCAGCTGTTTGCCAACCTTGGTCTCAAGGTCAACCTCAAGATGGGCGGTGTCAACCACAAGCTGAAGGACGACGTCAGCATCGTAAAGGAAGGCAAGACCATGGTTGTGGGCTACGACGTTACTCACCCGACCAATCTGTCTGGTAACACGGACGGTCTGCCGAGCTTGGTGGGCATGGTGGCGAGCGTTGATTCCGATCTGGCTCAGTGGCCAGCCACTGCCTGGGCGCAAGCTGGACGAGTGGAGATGTTGGACGATACCTTGGCTGAAAGGTTTGCCGAACGCCTCCGCCTGTGGCGGAGCAAGAATAAGCAGCAACTCCCCACCAACATCATTATCTTCCGAGATGGTGTCTCAGAAGGGCAGTTCAGCCAGGTTCTTGTGAAAGAACTCCCATTGATCCGGCGCGGCTGCACCCAAGTCTATCCGGCCAATCAGCAACCAAAAATTTCGTTGATCGTGTCTGTGAAGCGCCACCAGACTCGGTTTTATCCTACAGACCCCAACCACATGGTGAAGAGCCGGAACATCAAGAACGGCACCGTTGTCGACCGTGGCGTGACTCAGGCCACGATGTGGGACTTCTTCCTGACAGCTCACAGTGGGCTACAAGGTAACATTTGCTCACTACCCTTAGCATATTCAGAACCATGTGCTAACCTGAACGTGAAGGGACATCCCGGCCAGCACATTACACGATGTTGATTGACGAGGTCTTCCGCGACCGGTCGCGACAGGATGCTGCCAACCAGCTGGAGAAGCTGACCTTCGAGATGTGCCACCTTTTCGGTCGTGCAACCAAGGCCGTCAGCATCTGCCCTCCGGCTTACTACGCTGACATCCTCTGTACAAGACATCGCGTCTACCTTGCCGATCTGTTCGAGCGGTCCGACAACCAATCTGTCCAGAGCGCCACCAGCGAGTCCCCGCAGGTCAAAATCCACGACAACTTGAGAGACACCATGTACTACATCTGAGCATGCCTGGATGGAGTGTTTCTCCCCTCTGTATCGCCTCATGGCGGCATCCTCGAGACGCTATTCCCAGTCATGGAAACGGCATGCAGTCTTCTTTGATGTCCGATGCCCTTCCTTTGTGGTCCAGATCGTGATGCCCTTGGGCTACTCTGTCCCCCCTGCGATGGTTCTTTTCCTGGCGCGGTGTTAAAGCTCATAGATCAGGGTTGTGCTAGCATGGTACCAAGACCGGTACATCAGTGTGATAGTAGCAATAAAATCAAAGCACAAATGTCTTGTGATTTCTTGTCTTGCCTTGCTTTTGGTTCAATAGTCGTGAAGTGCCACGATTGTGGTGAGTTGTGCCGCAGCTGAATGCTGAATGAAGGCTTGTGCATACTTCCCTTTCCAAGGAATGGCCGCCGATCTCTTGTCGTACCGCCCGTAACTCTCCCAGCCTAGCTACAGCGGCCTGTCTGGCTGCTGCTTGAGAGGTTGGTACCCATGACATGCTCCTCCTGATACCCATCCCACAGCGCTACGGACTGCCGGGTCGGGTTCTGCTTGTGCTTATAGCCTTGGCTCTGGCGATGGTGCCGTAACAGGTCACAGGCCGGGGTCGCACTCCCCTGTTTGTAGTACATGGTTTGATCTGAAGACTTGGGCATGAAATTTGAGACGGGAGCAGAGACTGGAGGGAAGTTGTGATCCCACGCTGCAGTGCTTCACCAAGTTCCATTGAGTATGCTATGGGTGAATTTGCTTCATTCGCTTGGTCAACGGAGCTTGCGTGTTTAAAGCTGGGGATCGTGAGACGGCCAGTGGCCGGATCTTGAGCAGGCTCTGTGTTGTACCGTTGCAGTCTGTTTGCGGTAGATGCCCTGTTAGAGACCTTGATGACTTGATTGGCATTTAAGAGAGGGTGCAATAGTGTACAGTCGATATCCCTGATAGAGCCCGCACGCTGGTACTCCGGAATATGGCTACGATGTGTATCGTAATTCTCTATAGTTTAGATGAACAAATAACACCAGACACAGCCAAACGAATGTGAACACGTGGCTCCAACGCCACGTTAGGCATACAACCAAAACCCCCGTGGTAAATGAGCGTGGTCCCTGATGGTGCGGATGGTGTTCCTGGAGGGTGGACGAGCCCAGAATCTATCAGGTACAATGAAGTTCCAAGCTAATTTGAATCCGAACCCGAATACGCAGGGTATAGCCAGTTTTGGTCGTCATAGGGGGGGTCTTGAAACTCCGCCTCCAACTTTTTCACCTCCCACTCCATCATCTCTTTCGTTTCGTCCTCACCTGCCTTCAACTGCCTTGAGAACTCATAGTCCACGAGCCATGCTACCCCATCCTTCACAACGCACTGGTCCGGTTTGATGTCTCCGTGGATGTAACCAGTAGCTTCGTGGAAAGCTTTCAGCTTCACCACGCAGATTTTCTCGTCGTTTATGTCTGTATCTTGTCCGCCGTCGATCAGAGCAGTGAGGAAACCGATAAGCTGCTTCTTCTTGTTTATCGCCAGTGCCAGGAACTCCGGACCAATGGGTTTGCCTTGAATCTTGGCGTAGGCTGCCACCTCGTTCACGAAGGCTTTCTCAGATTCCTCGTATTTCCGCCTGTTGTTTCCGAAGGGCCTCTTGAACATCACGCCCTTGTTGTCGTTGAGTCCTGAGACCTGGGCTTTGAACACTACTACCCGGGCACCTTCCTCCTCCATGAACTCCTTGTATTCCTCGGTGATGGCTTCTCTGTCCTTAACCTACTCCGATTTGACCTTGGGAACGTTCGGCCATGCCTTTTCTAGCTTATCCAGGAGGCTTTCTTCTCGCCTCCCTATGTCCTGTGCATGAGCGGTCCTCTCGGGCAGAGTATGGACCTGGGTACAGGAGGTCAGCCATATCATTAGCAAACACCACAAGTTGTTGTATGCTACATCGCTGTACTTACCTGTATGAGACTCTGGCTTAGAAATGTAATGAGACCAATACAAAGCGCACTCTGGAACCGCATCGTGAAGTCTTGTATTTCAATCTCTGGCTGACTATAACATCTCACCCCCCCCTGCGGACCACCCCCCCACGGACCACTCCACACCACACTACTCTCATTCAGATGAAGCCATCTACAACCACCACAGTTGCTAAATACACTAAGGTCGTGGTGTTCTAACCATAATACAGCTCCCAGAATCCGATTCCGACCCTAAATCTTCACCAGGGACCTCTTGTGGGACCTCTTCGCCTGCAGCGGAGTCCCTATAGACCCTCCTGTTCCTCAGCTCCATTTTGGCCTCCCTTATGTTAGCCATTGTGACAAATCGTTCCCCTGGTGTTGGTTTGACTGCTTTTCGAGTGGTATTAGCCTTTTTAGCCACTTGAGCCTCAAGCAGCTCACATTTGGCCCGTAGATTTGCAATGGTAGCAGCCTGAACATCCATGGCCTTGCCAGCCTTCCGCACCAACAAGCGCTCAAAGGGCCCCCCAAAAGAAGGGTCCTTTCTTTCAAGCTTTTAAGCACTCTCTTGCAAAGCCCGGCTTCCAGAGGGTGTTGTGACAATGGTTTTAGCTACCATCTCGAGAAAATCTGGTGTTGTGGCTCGCTCGGAAGCCTTAGGGTCCCTCTGGCGTGCCCTGGCCACCCCCTTGTCCTCCAGAATCACATATTTCGACTTCAACGCCTCCGCTCTGTTGCAAGGAACAATCCCAGTCTTTTTCCAGGCAATTCTGATGTTGAGGAGCGTCATTGTGTCCTTCCGGGCCTGCTCGTAGCACTCCAAAACCTCCTCCTTAGATGGCCTGAGTCCCAGACGGCCGCTGGGCGTCTCCTGGAGTAAGGTCTTTAACCTCTTCTTTACCAAATTGAAGACTCCCACATCTAACACCTGGACTACATGGGAGCAATGAGGTTCATAAAAGATCAACCATACTTTGTTTCTTAAGCAGGTGGCTAGGAACTCGTCATTCGTGTGGGAGTCGTGGCCATCACACACCAAAACCACCCATGTGTTGCCGTGGACCTCCCAAATGTGAGGAATAAAGATACGTTGAAGCCATTCTAACACAATGGGATTCGAGGTCCATCTATTAGGCGACATAATAAACCTCCAGTTGGTGAATTTGCCCTCGTTTTGGTTGCTAAATCACTGGGCTTGTACATTAATCCCCTTAAGAATCACCAGCGGCGGCAAGGTCTCACCAGATCCGCTCACACACTCTAGGGCAGTTATCCATTCACCCTTCTTGACCCCTTTCTTCATAGCCACGTCGTCGGAGGCCTCGGAGACCACCCAATAGGAGTCCCCAACCCCCTGGGCGATTCCCATTTCGTCGACGTTGTACCAGCGTGCTGGCATGAGGTTAACCACGTCAGGAGCGTCACACCGATCGAAAAAAATGTTGATATTTGCCGCTGTAGCACCATTCACTCGGTTGTAGTTGATAATATGAGACTTTATTATCTTGACTTCTGGGTTTCGAGACAGGAACTTGGATGCCCAATTTTTCCCTAATTCTCGAGCATCCCCGGTGGCATGGAGCATCCGCTGGGCCATAAGACGGAACTTAGAGACCGCCGGAGAATACCCTAGCCGTGCTTACCCCAGGGCCCAGCTTGCCAGCTTATATTCGAGATACGGTGAGAGAGCCTGTTGGAGAGCGCTGGTCTCATTCCGCGTTGGGGTGCCAGAGATTCGTCGGTTGATGTACGAGCGACTGATTTGCCATTCGAGGGCTGACGAGCAGACTGGAGCTCCGCGTTGGATGGCCAAAATGGCGGCTTCAGCTTTTATTTGACGGTCGTAAAATGACATCATGAGATTCAGCAGTGGATAAGGATTCAAATAGTGTACTTTGTGAAAAAAAAGATGCAAAAGTGATGGTGTAGATGGTAGATCACCATAATCCTGGTGGTTGGTGAATTACGCGTTTGTGGGTCAGAACGCGCTGGTCCGCGGGGGGGTGGTCCGCAGGGGGGTGGGAGATGTTACTTGCGATGTGGCCTCTGGGTGGATGTGGATAACTTATGGGTATGAGATTGGTATCGGTAGGATGTAGCTTTTGGTTGTTGGACTTGGCCTGGAATTGTTTGTTTTGTATTTAACGTGGGGGGTAGCTCCTCAGTAGTGCAGACCACGCCTCCCAGAGCCTCTGCATCGCAGGGTTGTGGAGGTCTCAAGAAAATAAGTACAGTCAGTCCCGCTCACGGGCCCATCCCTGTTGTTGCGGCGGTATGACCTTGGGGTCATCCATCTGGTCCTTCAAGAACAGCTATCTATCAGAGACAGATTGTTGAAAAGAACTTGCTCTTCTCCACGAATTTTGCCCATTCTGTGCTCCTCTCCCCTAGGTATTGTAAACAGGCTGTCCTAGGCGAGTACCTAGGCAATAACCAATTTTTTCCTAGCCTCTTACAAAAGAAAATATATTGTGGTGTTTTCTTTTCACCACAGCTGCAGTGGTTGTTCGAGTCTGTATGCCCAAAGCGTTCGTGGTATCTGGCAAAGTCGCCATGTCCAGATCTGGCCGCTAGAAGTCTGTGTAGAGTGCTCTTCTTAAAGGATATAAGGCCTCTTTCAGTTACTGTATGTGAGTATACTTCTTGATACCTAGGTTCTGATTGGTCTTTTTACCATTGGTTGAACTCTTTCTTGCCCTTTCTCTTGAGATCTCTCTTGACCCAAGAGATTATAGGAAGGTTTGTTGTGTCTGTTTCTAGCATAACACCCTTTTTTGCTAATATATCGGCAGCTTCGTTACCATCAATATCTCTGTGTCCAGGAATCCACTTGACGGTCACTCCAGGAGTGTGTGCTGTGGTGAGTTCTTGGAATTGCAGAAAAATTTTCTGTGATGTCTCGGGTGGAGTCCCATTGAGCCCATCCACCACTGATGTGTTGTCCAGGCAGACATATAGCTGTTTTCCGTGTCCAATTGCCCTGGCTGCTACAAGACCTTGGAGAGCACCATGGACTTCAGCATCCACTACTTCTGCTTATAGAAGTCTGCCCCTTCCCCGGTATACTTCTTGTGTAGTGCCGCCTTTCCTGATGGTATAGCCCCATCCAGTGCGGGTTGTGCCTTGGTTATCCAATTGTGATCCATCTGAATAGATGACAAGGTCAGTGTTCGCATTTCTTTCCTGTAGCCATTGCTTGAAGAGCTTTATTTCTTTGTCTTTGTCTTTACAGACTGGGGGCTTCTTCCATAATGGCTTGGTGAGTATTGGTCTCTGGAAGTCAGGGACTAGTTGGAAGTTCCTTTGTAGCCTTGTTGGTTCTTTGCGAGCTTGTATTTGGAGCCTGCTAACAAGAGGGTGTCTCTGGTCTACTCGTCTGAGTCGGAGGCCGTGACGTCTTCTTATTGACTCTGCAAGAATTCCTGTTGGAGGAATCTGTGATTCAAAGTGTAGGATATGTCCAGGGTGTGTTTTCTAGACTGGCAAGATAGCTCTGATTGCCGTTCGTAGTACAGCATCTATCGTTCTAAGAAGCCCTTTAATGCGACATGCTGATGTCCCACCTAAGCTCCCAATTTTTTCTATTCCTGGGTACCAGGCCTCCAGGCCATGTGTAAGAATAGGAATAACACAAGTTTTCACAGCCCTCTTGATTGACTTTACTGGAAGTCCTTTAACTGTGTTGTATAGTCCTCAAAGATGGTTTGCTACCCTACTAGCTTTCTTGGCCCAGTAGGAAACGTGATCTTTGAAGTTCAGTTTTCTATCCAGGAAGACACCCAGCCATCGCATGGAGTTCTTTGCTATTCTGTTTATTGTCCCGTGGCGGACCGGAGGATTGTCTGAGTTCTTTTTCTGTGAGAAGTGCATGATCTCGGTTTTGTCGGGATCAAATTTAATAGCATTATTATGTCCCTATTGGTTGAGCAGGTAAAGATTTTCAGAAGCCTCTTTGGTTATTTCTTTAAGGTCCTTTCCAATACAGAGAGTCGCTAGGTCGTCTGCATATCCAAAGCGTCTCCTTTTCATACCGAGTCGGGTACAGATTGGCTCTGTATACAGCATATAAAGGATTAGAGAAGCTGGTGAGCCTTGTGGTAGCCCACAAGTGAGAGCTTTTATGTCGGTCACAATACCTTCAAACCGAACTCTTGTGGACCGTTCAGACATGAATGACTGGACCCATCTTATGAGAAAGTCTGGCCAGCCCTGTTCTCTCATGCGAACCACCAGCCGTCCCATTAGGGCAGCGTCGAAGGCCCCTGTCACATCTGCTGTGACTACCGTTGCAACAAGGCCTTGGTCAAGGGCCTGCTCAATATTGTGTATGAGTGCAGCTACCAAGTCGGCGGCAGAGCGCTTTGGCAGAGCTCCAAAATGTTGTGGAGCTAGAATTCCGAGTTTGATGACAAACCAGGCAATTCTTTTTGTAATGAGTCGTTCTAGGCCTTTGCCAAGACATGATAATAGCGATATTGGTCTGTAGGCCCTGGGGTTAGAGTAGTCTTTCTTGCCTGGCTTTAGGATCATCACTACCTCAGCTACTTTGAATGGTTTAGGGTGGTGTCTAATCTGTAGACAGGTCTGGAAAAGGGCTCTGATATGCTCCCCAATGACTGGCCAGCAAGCTTTCAGAATCCGTACTGTGAGGGTGTCTACTCCTGGGGAGTTGCTCTTGGTCCCTATAGTGCACCCTTCAGCCTCTTCTAGTCCGACATGGTATTCAAGGGGGATGTGTGGCTTGGCTTGTGTGATCTGAGCAGACCAGGGGTCGATGATATCGTTGTCTGGGGTACTTTGTTCAAGCGTGGCTAAGCGTAGTGCATTTGCCTTGCTCTCTTGTGACTCAAAGATTTGGTCCCTTATGATGATTGGGGGGGAACGCAATCCTGCTGACAGCTTGTGCCAGGAAACAATTCTGTACAGGTCTTTTGGTTCAGTCGCTGAATTAATTAGAGTCTGCCAGTACTCTCTCTTAGCTTTTCGGACCACACAGCAAAATTCCCGTTGGGCTGAATTTCGCCCTTCTTGGCTTGTGGTCTGTTTAGAAAGGGCCCTGTATGTCTGAACAGCTGCTTTACAGTCATCATTCCACCAAGCAGTGGGCCTAGATTGACGGGGCTTCTTGCCCACTGTCCTGATACAGCCTTGAATCATATTGATCAAGCTTTGTGTAAAGGTATCCACCTGGCCAGGGGATACACCCAGCCGGGGGAGTTCATGAATCCTGGTTTGGACATTGTCTGTCAGCTCTTGTAGTTTATCGTCCGGTACTATCCAATGATTGGCCTTAGGAACTCGGTCCCAATCTCCCTGAATTGGAATGACTATTCGTAATGTCTCATGATCTGAGGTGCACTGAAGTACATCATTGACTGAGGCTTCAGCCATGGGGACATCTGAGAACACCAGATCCAGTACATTTCTATCGTCATGTGTTGGGACATCTGGTTCAGAAATCAGATCCAGTCCGTGGTCTGCCATAGTCTGTGCCAGTATGACGCCACCGTGATATCCTGGATTGCTCGAGTCCCAGGATATGTCGCCAGCATTAAAATCTCCAGTTATAACACAGCCAAAAGGTGGAGTCCATACTTCCAGAATATCATCCACTTCCTGTGGGTTGTCACATGGCCGGTAGACACTGGCAAATGTGATGCCATGTACCTTGACCCAGGTGATGTCTCGTGTAGCATTGGGCCAAAGTTGATCCGCTTGAAGGTGTTTTCTCACATAGATGAGAGATCTGGGCCGTGTACTGTTGCTGTCCCAGGAATCCACTGGGGAGTATATATTGTAATTGGGGTGTGTCTTTACTCCCATTCTCCTGTCTGGTGGTATGCCAACCCAGGGCTCTTGCATCAGAATGATGTCTGTTTGTTCTCCTTTGTAGTCAGTCAGGTTGATGGCTAATTCTGTAGGGCCTGCACTCTTTTGTCCTCCTGCTGTATTCATAGAATGGATGACTAGATGCCTGTGTCGATGTGTTTCGTTTGATGTACCTAACATTGACTGACAACAATGGTATCGGCATCTCTGGGATGAGTTGTATCTGTTGTGTCGATTTGTATTGTGATGTCTTTGTTATTGTTGCTAGGTGTTGACCCAGCTTGGTTTCTGCCTGCTTCATTGAAGGCCTTGGATCTGGCTCTTTCTCCAGCTAGCCTTATTTCCTGGATTTGCTCCCATGTGTGCTTATGGATGGTACCTTTCACAACCTTGGGGCGGGCAGGGCATTTATTGAAATTGGCAGCATGAGGTCCTTTGCAGTTGACACACTTTGGGATTGGTTTTTCGCACTCTCCCTGGTGTATTGTGTTGGCGCAGTGTGCACATATTTGCTTTTCGCATCGGTAATTCCTACCATGGTATCTGAAGCAGCTTGCACACTGAACCTTGGGGGTGTGTTGAATATGCCTTGAGGTCATTGAGTGGGCAAAAAGCATGAATGGTTTCCTTGCTGCACTGGGCAGAGAGATTATCCACGTGGTTTCTGGATCAGAATTAGTCGTGTTCTTTGAGAGTATGCACCTCAGAGGTCTGTCGCCTGTTTGGGCTTCAACTTCATCGGCAATAATAGTGTCGGTAATATCGATTGTGAACCCTTTTGTACTGATGACCTTTTTTGGGCATCCATCGACCTTGTAATGATGCCAGACTGTGTGGGTCTCAATCTTTTGTGCCTTGAGAATGTCAGCAATTTCTTCTTGGAAAGCCAGAAGCTTAGCCTGAGTTGGTTTGTCCCTTGGGTGTAAGGTAAATCCAGAAGGACACCGTGTCATTTCTCTAAGCTCCTGAGGGTGGAGCTTAAGTCTTCTGTTCAGTATAAACTTGATTCCATAGGGCTCTAAGTGGCTATTATCCATGCGGATAAAGACCCGGAGATCATCCTGTTTCCTCTTCAATTGGTTGATAGTGATGAGGGCACTAGGCTGTGTTTTCTTCATGGTAATGTTGACTGTCCATGGATGCTGTCGTTGGCCAGAGGAGACAGCTTGGGCGAAGGTCATGGTGGGCTTCCCTATTTCTATCCCCCAGAAGTGGCCTTTCTTATGATCAGATCTCGGGTTTCCAGCCACTCATTCAGACATTTGGAGAAGAAAGCGTTGAACTCCTTGGCATAAGAGTATAGTTCGGTTCCAGCTTTCTCAAGTGTCTTATCGACTATTGCAGCACACTCCTGAAACATTGTCATCCTGGCTTCATAGAGATGCTTGTCTTTAGCCAGTATTTTGGCAACTTGGTCCTGGCACTCTAAAGAGGAGACTTTGTTCCCTGCATCACCTCCAATGGCTTGGTCTGTAGGGATTTCGCTTGACTGAGGTAATTCCATATCAATGGTGCTGCTATTATTGATATTTTGGGATTTTCCTTTCAGAGGAGAAATAGTGGTGAAGTCAGCCTCAGAGACCTGTGACGGGCTGCTGTTGATGTCGTCGAGCAGTGCCTGGCGGAGCCTGCTTGGGGTTGCCGGGTCATGTGTTCTTTTCGGGACTGGGGATTTGAACACGCCGCCAGTAGTCGTCTTTGGGACGGCCACTGGCGTGTTTGGGGGCCTGTCGTGAAAGGGTGCCATCCAGCTTATAAGAAAAATTTTCTGCGCCTTGGCAAGGATAGTCAGGTACTGAGACAAATGCCTGCTTTAGTGCAGATATAGAGGTTGCGCCCTAACAGCGGGGCGCCAAGAAAAATAGTTGTTTTTGGCAAGAGTGTGTGACTTGGCCTGGAAGTCTGACCATTTCGTGAACGGCGATCTCTCTCTATAGACTATTTATTATTAAACCCAGTCTTCGGCAGGCGGAATCATGATATGACTCTTGCTCTAGGTCGGCGTGTAGCTCGGCCCGCCCTCAACCACGTTGTTGCCCAAAGTAAACACAAGCTTCTTGCGCAGCCCGGAGGGTAGGGGCCAATCCATCTAGCAACAGTATTGTGTACCCGTTGATCGTAGCAGTGCAAAGGAAAATGTCACGCGCTGCGGGACCGAATTCTTTTACCTGAATGGTTAGGCCTAATTGTGGCAATATATTAAGAATAGATACGACTGATATTATGACATGTAGCTCGGTGTGTATTTGATTGATACCTACCGAGCACTTGCAGAACGGCATCAAAATCCGCCGCGATCCCGCCCACACTACTACGACACCATTAACTCATTCGAAGGTTAGTGGTGTGGGAGGGACCGCGGGAGGATTTTGACGCCATTCTGACTCCTTATTTCGGTCATGATATTAATAGAAAGTCCCGGGCAGCGAGTGGCCGGGATGAAAGGTGGCAACACGCCTGACTACCTAGTATAACTCCCGGGAATGGGATCCGCCTGATGTCTGCCGAGCACGGCTCGGGATCTCTACATATGAGGGCGCGTTCCATGATATGTTTTCTCCAGCCACGGCACGGCAACGTGGCCCCTAGTAAACTCTCACTGAACACGAGGCCCCCCCGAAGGGCTGATCGCATCTGCTACCCGTACGGTCAATCGTAAGATCCACAGTCCACTGGCGGTTGTTGTCGCCCATCTCGTACTTGGATTCCAGTAGATCGCGTCTGCGGATGATGTAGCACCCCCCTGGGGCTTTTCCAGCTGTGCGACGTCGTCGTTGCCCGCCCAGCCGGCTCTCCAGAGGGAGATCTCGGACACCGGATGGGGCCCGCACCTTGCACCGACGACGAAGGCCGTTCGAAGGGGGCTGGCGCATTGACAGGGGAAATATGCCGTAGGCAGCCCTTCAACGGCGACGGTGCCACCGGCCTTGAACGGTAAGGGGTTGTCGGCACTCCGGCGGTTGCAGGTGTTGACCCAACTCATCACTGATCACTCCTAATACGTAGTCATGAATTCAGAATGAGTTGGTATTAAGTATCGTTGATGGGGTATATGGGACACTTGAAACCAGATATCTATAAACCAAATCTCCGAACGTGGAGGCTGCCCATGCCCATGCCTATGCTGACGGCCGTCATTCCTTCTAAGATGCATTTTCCCTAGCCGTGAACATATGCAACACGAATTAATTTCTATCTCATCTATGACCAAGATCAACCCTGACTACAGGGTAAGTGGACATTAGATCAACAAAACTGCAGCGACGGCAACACCGGCGGCGAACCGGCTGTCGCCGACGTAATGACCCATCGCCAGGTTCTGCGTGGGTGTGGCTGTGGGCGCGACAGTGGTAGTGACCGCGGTCGCCGCCTTCGTAGCCGAGGACGTGGTCTCGTCCGTCGACGAAGACTCGCTGGCGTCGTGGGTGGGGAAGACGCTGTCGTCTGTGGTAGTGGCGGTGGCAGTGGCACTCGAGCTCTCGGTCATGAAGCTGTCGGATGTGGCGGTAGAGGACGAGGCATCGTCCCAGGGGAAGCTGTCAGACGTGGCGGTAGAGGACGACGCATCGTCCCACGAAAACGACGTGTAAGAGCTGCCGTAGCCGCAGTCATCGCCCAGATCGCAGCAGTAGCCGTCGGAGGTGCAAGTGCCGTAGTTGGGACAGTAGTGCAGCTCGTCGGAGCAGCACGTGCCGTCGAGCGGCATGCACAGGTCGCCGCACTCGAACTCGTCGTCGCCGCAGCTGCCGTAGTAGCTCCCGTAGCCGGAGTCGTCATTCCCATAGTCCGAGTCGTCATCGTCATCATCATCGCCGTCATCGTCGCCGGTGTACGTGTTGTCGCACGTCTCGCCCTCCTGGCAGCAGGCGCCGGGCACGCAGGCGTACCCAGCCATGCAGTACTCGTCCGTGTTGTCGTTGCAGCAAACGTCGCCCTCGGGCATGCAGCTGCTCTCGCAGACTTCGTAGCCCGAGAAGCACGTCGACAGCGCGTTGATCAGCTTGCTCTGGCCGAAGTTCTTGGCGGTAACGGAGCGGGAGCGCGGCGTCGCGGCCAGTGCTGCCACTGGCGCCAGGACAAGGAGGGCGTAGGCGCGCATGTTGTGTGGTTGAGGGAGAGGTATTATTCAATTTGTATTAAAGGTATTAGTGGTATGTATGGAGAGCCGAGGAGGTGCGAAAGGAATGGACTGCAGACTCGAAGGCTTGGGTGTCAAAAGAGTGAACGGGGTAAGATGGTCCTCACGATAGCCTGCCCGGGCTCGTAGCGGACGCGGTGCTTTTATCATGTTTTTTTTCGCATCTCACCTCTCATTTCCCACGAAGCGGCACAGCAGCTGAAGGAAGCGCGGCGGCGTGGTGGCCAGTAGCCAGGAGCATTATGGCGTTAAAGCCAAGACTTTGGCCTTGGACTCGGTACCAACTAGCGGTGGCTACAGGGTCTGGGCTGCTGGGGTTGCAAAATGTTCACGATGCCTCGGCTTGGACTTGGATGGGTGAGCATCTTGGCAGAGCCTTTGCCCAGGCACACTCATTTCCGCCTGCATGATGGCCTATAACATGTCGTGGTGTGACTCAGCAGACTATACGAACCAACTTGCTGACATGCATGGCATTCGAAGTGAGATCTCGTGTTGCTCAATGGGTGTTGAGGTCGACCCATACAACCCCTGAATGAGAATCTGCGTTGGCTTAGCCGCACCCGGGCACTTGGCATAGGCTGATGATCTGCCAGGGGAAGTCGAGCACCGGCCCACGAGCTTAATCGCATTTTGCTGCGGTCAATGCAGCGAGGTCAAGTCTTGCGTAATTCCTCCGTGATGCAATGCTTATTGATTAGATGGCTGACAGAACACGAGTTTCGCGCTGTACGAGGACGCATGATTTCCGTCACTCTGCCAGCCCGTTAGAGCGAATAGAGGCGATGATGGGAGAAAGACTCATCAGACGATTCGGTGCCGAATAGGGTAACTGTCGTGCCTAGATGCCCAGGGTCCAGGGATTAACCCAGAACGGGATGTTAACCGACCGCTCGGCCCTGAAGACGGGCCATCGAGCCGCGAAAGCTGACAGCCCCACCAGCGGAAATCATGCCTGCGAAGGTCTTTCCCCTTTTGATTCATTGTGCGATAGGCTCAAGGTAGTCGACTAATGGCCTTCAGTGCTGAAATAATAAAGGGGCTGCTTGCCCGGCTAGCTGATTGAAGTCCGACAACCCTTTTGCCCTGTGGCGAGCTTCTTAGACAGGCTAGACAGACATCGTCAGAACTTCCCAGAAGCCCACACCCTCATGAGTCATGCTTGAGTCGACGAGCCCGCTGGGAGAAACTGAGATACCTACCTAGGTAGGTAGGTGGCTGAGCTGGGTGCTGGCCCCTTTCCCAGACCTCAATGGCATGTGAAGCTAGGACCAAAATCCAAGGACAACACCGGCCCCAGTCGCTGTCGAGCAAGGTAAGCATAACATACCTACTTGCGATCGAAAAGGAGCCGTGCGTCTAGTCAACATGCCTAATGGGCCCATGCGATTTTAGGTGCGATAACTAGGTTCATTCCGGCCTGAGGTGTAGAGGCTTGCGGGGATGTAAACAGGCTGACCAAGGAGTTTATATATTCGTCCGGGATGATATGGCTTTCCCGCATTGGAAAGTGTCGACAGACGGAGTCAAATGCAAGCAGCAAACCGGGATATCTGCCATCTGGATGTGAGCTTGTGAATCTTGGTTGTTCCTTGCCAGGGCACAACCTTGCTCACCGTGATTGCCCCTTACCCCGGATCGACGGTATCTCCGGCGCGTCGGAGATAAGCTCCATCTTATCAGATCATGCCATCGATCTACGATGATATCCAAGACGATCCAGAATGTCGGTCTATCAGTCTGTCAACCTCATTGAAACCTGGTCACCCTGAGCGAAGCTATAGCTGGTCATTATAGGAGCACTCTGGCCGACTGAATATGGGATCATTGACGTCAAGACTGTGGACTCGGACTGCCCAGTTGGTGAGACACCCGGACACATGCGAGCAGGACGACCTCGGGCATGGTACGAACCCGAGCACCTAATTCGACGCCCGCCCTATCACAGGTTCGAACCTAATTGGCGGTCCGAACCTAGATCGTGTCCAAGTTCTCATCCCTCACCCGCCTCCATGCTGCAACGCAGCAGGAATGCGCCAGGGCCTCCAGTCCGCCCTTTGCTTGATGGGTAATAAAAGCTGTCCAACCCATCTTGGACATCGATGGAGATGCGTGCACCGTCTGAGTCACTGCCACTTGCTCCCCGCAAGGTCTAGCCATCATGGACCTATTGCTTGTCGTGCCTCTTCTTTGCTCGCTCAGACCTCGACCCGGCCTCTTCGTTCTGTAGACACTTCCCTAGGCAAGAAGCGTTCTGAATCATTCGGCCCATCTATACAACAGCTAGGACGAGTCTCGGCTGGGAATTCATGAAACTGCGCAACGCGGCAGTCCTCATCCAGTCGCTGCAATGGTTGACTCGTTCACAGGAACATCTACTCAACACCCCATAAACTCGTCAACCGCATCGATGATTTCGGCGCGTGAGAGTACTGCTAACGATACGGCCTCGTCACACGAAACAGCCACCATCTTCAACCCACCGTCCAAGGCCGGACCTCCAGACGACGAGTATCCGTCAGGACTGAAGCTCGGGCTCGTCATCCTCTCGCTATGTCTCGCCGTCTTCCTCGTCGCCCTGGACCAGACCATCATCGCACCCGCGTTAGGTGCCATCACCGGCGAATATGGCAGCGTCAAAGACATTGGCTGGTACGGCAGTTCATACCTGCTCACGTCGACGGCGCTGCAGCCGCTGTACGGCAAGGTGTACCGGACCTTCGACATCAAGCTCACCTTCCTGGCCGCAGTCGCGCTCTTCGAGCTGGGTAGCCTGGTGTCAGCCGTCGCGCCGTCCTCGACTGCTTTTATCATTGGTCGCGCTGTAGCTGGCATGGGCACTGCTGGCTTGTTCTGTGGAGCTATCGTCATCATGTCGTATACGCTGCCGCTGCGCCAGCGACCCATGATGTTCGGCATGTTCGGTGGGATGTGGGGGATTGCGTCCGTGGCTGGGCCTCTGCTCGGTGGTGTATTCACAGGTGAGCAATCCAGATTCCCATCTCCATTTCATGCGGCGTCTATGGCTCTATCACGAGAAAGGCCCAGAACTGACTAGATGTGAAGACCGCATCTCTTGGCGATGGTGCTTCTACATCAACCTGCCGATCGGTAGTGCCGCAATGGCGGTGATATTCTTCTTCCTTAGCATCTCACGAGTGAACAACCCGGACAACCAATCCTTCGTCTCTCGAATCCTGAAACTTGACATGATCGGAGCTGGGATCCTAATCCCGGCTATCATCATGCTGCTGCTGGCTCTGCAATGGGGCGGTGCTCAGTATCCGTGGAACGACGCCCACATTATCGGGCTCTTCGTCGGTGCCGGTGTGATGGCCGTCATGTTCATCGGCGTGGAACAATGGCAACAGGACAACGGCCTGCTGCCGCCGAGGTTCTTCAAGGATCGCAACGTGCTGTGCGCGATGATGTTCGCCTTCTTCTTCGGCGCCGCCTTCATCCCCTTGGTCTACTATCTTTGTGAGATTGTCCCTCTCCGGGCTCCCCCCTCGAACCAGGGTAGCTAACGCGGGGTATAGCATTATACTTCCAAGCGATCCACGGAGACACGGCTGTCGAAGCAGCTCTCAAGCTTCTCCCACTCCTCATCTCCGTGGTCATCAGCTCCATCGCATCCGGCGGCCTCGTCACGGCCTTTGGATACTACAACCCCCTCATCCTCGCCGAAATGGCCCTAGCAGCCGTCGGCGCCGGACTAATCACGACCTTCAACCTGACGTCACCTATGAGCCGATGGTTCGGCTTCCAGGTCGTCTACGGCCTGGGCACGGGCATCGGCTTCCAGGCCGGCGTGCTCGTCGTGCAGAACGCGGTGCCGGGCGAACTGGTGCCGCAGGGCACCGCCTGCGTGCAGTTCTTCCAGTCCCTCGGCGGCGCCCTGTTCATCGCCGTCGCCCAGACCCTCTTCCAGAACGGCCTGCTCGCGGGCGTGGCGCGCGACGCGCCGCAGCTCGACGTCGCCGTCTTCATCAACAGCGGCCTGAGCCAGATCCAGCAGGTCCTGGAGGCCATGGGCCAGACGGACGCGCTGGCCGCTGTCCTGGGCGCGTACATGTCCGGGCTGAGGAACGCGTACTACATCACGGTGGCGGGCGCCTGTGCCGCCTTCGTGGTCGCCCTGGGCCTGCAGTGGAAGAAGATCGAGAAGCCGGGCGCTGTGGGAAAAAAGGCGATAACGGATGTCGAGGAGGGGACCGGTCGCACTGCTAGTCCCGAGTTCGATCCTGCTCTCGAGGGAGCTGGGGGGTTAGGGGCTGCCAAGGGAGAACGGATCAGCTTGGTGAGCTGTACATCGGGGCTCAAAAGTGGTGAGGTTCGTACGCATATTTTGCGATAGGAGACTGATTACCTAGGTGCTAGAATGGCATGATCTTCAACTCGTAAACAGCCCAGTTTTAGTCTTTACTTAGTGATGGTTTACGCAGTGTAGCCATTGTCGTTACTATGGCTCTTCGGAGGTAATTTTCGTCATGCTTGCAATGCTTAGTAGCGTCGTCACGATCACCGCTGTATCGAGCGAAGAAATGGGGCGAATTAGTCCGAAGCAAAGGGTGCTACCGGGGATAAGGGAAACGGCTGTAGCAAATCCAGATTGCTATGTGCTTGCGAGCTTTTGATTTTGAGAATGAGAAACCTGGGATTTGTTCTGCGCTTTACTTTCCCTTCCGGGGGCGGATTATTCGATGCTTCCCATTTCCTCTCCTTATCGTCATTACTTCCTCGCTCCAGGCCTCGTGAGATACTGTCCGACGAGTAACCCTAGAATCGGACAAGTGCCGACAACAAGCAAGTCTTCAGATCCAACCCCATGATCAAACCCATCCGTTCAAGAGCCGGCATCATGTTGCTGTTCCCCGTCATCCTGGTGCCCACCCACCGACCCGAGAACCCCCGCACCGTTGAAGATCAGAGAACAGGTGGTCGGAACCCGGCTTCGCTGCAGTTTGATGTTGGGGTTGAGCTTGCTTTTCTTCACTGTCTCGACAGGTGCAGGTGCAGGTGCAGGCGCTGACCTCGTCGGTTTGATATAGCGTTGTGTCTCTAGGCGCGGTGCAGTTCTGAGAGGTCTTGTATGTTGCGTAGGTCTCTCTGGCGGGTTTTCTTCGCTCATGCGGCTTTGCGCGTGATATCATAAGTATCAGTCTGCGGTGTATTTTGTAAGCTGGATTGTAACTGGCGACTGCGCTGAGGAGGGTCTGCCATCGGAGAGTTCTGTATGGAACTCTGCACGAAGCCACGAGACAGGGTCACATTGGCGTCGATATACACCAACGAGCCTTGCCTCCTTTGGATCTTCATGAGTCCTTCTTCTTCCAAACTCTCCGTTCCAAAGAACAGATGGCAATGGCGGCCGTTGTGCCAGTTTCTGCATTTTGAAGTGTGATGTGCTGGAGGCGGAGTTTCCGAAAAGTGATGCTGGGAAAACGTGACTGCGCCAAAGTAGCGATAAGGCGCTTGACGAGCTTTTGCTTTGCCATGATGGTGACTGGGTCATTAATACGACTCTAATGGCTGTGGTCATACAGCAGCGTCCTCCAAGTGGAAGTACAAAGCCGTCAGCGCCGTAGACAGCACGGCCACGATCCATTGTCCGATGCCGAACCCGCTGTCGATAGCTTCCTTCCGCACAAGATCGTGCACGAGCGCTATCGCGAAACTCGCAGCCAGGATGCTGGCGACACACCACGCGATCAGGGGCTTGTTCGGCCCTTCGATGATGTGCACGCCCCAGCGGTAGATCTTCGTCGGGTCGTTCTCGGCTAGTAAGCTGTTGTTGAGCTTCTTGGGCAGACGATTGTAGAAGAGCATGTCCCATGCGGGATTGCCACTCGTGGCTGGATGATCGTCTGGGGGAGCCCAGAAAGTAGTGGAAGAATGCCCGGCGGTCAATCGGTGGCAGCGGATCGAGTGGGCATTCGTAGTAGTGGGCACGCTGTTGGTCTACTTCCGCCTTGGGCGGGATGGCGAGAGGCGATTCGTAGATACCGGTCTGTTTTCCTCCTCTTTGAGCGGCGAAGCGGACGAAGTGGATGTCGGAAGGGCGGTAGAGAAGGGTGTAGGCCTTCGCGGCGGAGAGTGTGATAGCGCTTACGAATGTTTGCTGGAAGCTGAGCATTAGCTGGTGTTCTTGAATGATACGTACGACCTCTCGAGCAGTCATGTCGGACATACCAAACAGCTCTATGTCGTTCTTTGCCAAGACGTTACCGAGACAATCCTTAAGCTGGATCTCACCGAGTGAGACCAGGTGCTTGCTACGGTTTACGCAGAGCTCGAAATACTCTGGTGATGATCCATTGGAACCTGTGGTTGCAGCATTGACTGTTCCTGCAGGCGCAGGGGCTACATGGACAGCCTGGTTGTTCTGTGTATCTACGAGCGGACGGCCGGAAGAGGAAGATTGTGTTGTGCCGGTACCATAGCCAGGGGTTACTGTGTTCGCTCTATTTGCAGTAGAGACAGCGCTTGAGCCTGTTGCTGGCGAATTATTGGCCTTGGAGGGTACGAATGCAGCCATGCTGGGCAGAACTGCAATGAGGGACCAGACATCGCCGAGTGAAGTCTCGGGTGCCAGGTACGTAGCTGCTGTTCTCTCCATGATGAATGCTAGCGCCGGCATAGCCAATAGGGCACCCATTCATAGGAGCTTTTGCGGCACCTGGTTTCGGATGACCGAGTAGTAGTAATTGTCTCCGCGTAGATGAGGCCTGATGCTGAGCAGAAGGGCAACCGTGGTCACGGCTGGTGCAACCTCTCGGTGATGCGTCAGCCTGAGCCAATACAATGGCCGTAGGTACATGACCATGCACCCCATCACCTCTATGCAAGGCCATGCTCTGCGATTCGTATCGATGACACCAAGTACTGCCAGCCTCCTGCGCTCGCCCATGAGAGGCGCAAGCGACGGTCGATCTTGCGCCGTCGTAGAATCATGGCCTGAGTATGCATCTCCAAGGGTACGTTCGAAAGCAGTGACGTCCTGTCCGCCGAGGTAATCTCCATACATGACTTGCCCGCAGCTACAACGCCATTCCAGACGCTTGTAGCCCTGGTACGGCCGCGGTCGCATGTGCTTGAGCATACGGTGAATCGTACTCGACAGAAAGGATTCCGGCCAAGTCGGCTTATGCCATCCCGCAGCGTACACTTCTGCCTCAGTAGGGACGATAGAAGGTCTCATATGACTTGGTGCGCCTGCTAGTACCACTTGAGATCTGTCTCCCTGCAGGTCCGGAGCAGACGTTTGTGCGACTCTCTGAACGTACTGGCTAATGGCGAAAGGGATAATCCCAATACCAATAGTCCACAGGAGAAGCTTACCCAGGCCGTTGGTGGGATCAACTTCAGCATTCGAAGAGCCAGGAACGTGGACCTTGGAGTATTGAGTATAACCATCTACGTAACCATCTGCGTAAGCAGGAGCTGTCAGGGCACCGGCCCAGACAACCACTTGAGCAAGATGTCGCACCGAATTTGACTGAGTCGCCATATGCCATCCGCTCGATGAGATCATGTCGAGAGAAGGTGTGACTTGGACGTCGCTGCTCTGAGGAATCAGTTCGACGATGCTCTTTGCCATGCCGCGCAAGCTGGGCTGAACTGAGCGCCCTTCGGTTCCAAAGGCTGTCTCTTCGTTCTCTTGACTGACTGTGCGAGAACTTTGCTGATGTGTGTTCTCGCCGAATACCCTCAGTGATTCCGGACTTTCCTGCAACGTCTCATGGCTGGATGACTCGAATATTGTGGTATGATCTTGAAGTAGCCTGCTTTCAAGGACATTGTCATCTTGCTGATCAGGGGTTGACTCCAGTGCAAGCAAGGTGTCTGCGAGTAACGGTGATGGTAGTCCATTGAAGTCGAGACCCTCCTTCGAGTCTTTTTCTACCGCCTTGCTCTCGGTCCCCTTCACCAAGAGGCGTGCTGCGGCGTAGGTGCGGCGGATGGGCTCATTCTGGAGCAATTGAGCTAGCATGTTGTTCTCAATAGTGATCATCGTTGACTCGCTGGCGCGCGCGAGCTCAACGGGTGCTGATCGCCATGGCAGGGTGGCTTTTCTGAGATCATGCTCATTCTTATGGTACCACTCCCGCCTTTGGTTCTCGTCGTTGTTGCTATTCATTCGGATTGGGACGATATAGAGCTTGGCCTCTGTCTTTCTCGATCCTCGTTTACGTATGTTGTGGCCAAGAAGATATCGCCAAGGATTTTGAGGCACGTTCTCCTTGAGCCACCACTTCTTGAGCTCGTACTCATACTGACTTTCCTAAGCAACGGGTATGGCGAGTTCGTATACGGATTGCCTCGTGCTTGCGTCTGCTGGCTTGGGCTATGGCTCGGGTATGGGCCAGCATTCCGCCTGTCCTCATCGTATTTCTCTTCCGTAACACGGTCACCCAAAACCTCGCGAGCTGTCTGAATAGCCTGAAACTTTAGTGTGGACTCCTCGTTTCCACCATTGCGGTCGGGATGATATCGCAGCGCGAGTTTACGGTACTGCTTCTTGATGTCGTCGTTACTGCAGGTGGGAGGAAGCTGTAGATCGGCATAGTAGTCGTGGGAGATGTGTGCCTGCGAAGCATGTTAGCCTCTACATCCCCTGTGTTGCTGACTACTGCCACTGACTTTGGCCATCTTGGCAGCTACCTCATCACCCAAGTCACTAGTGCGCGGTTTCGAAGAACGTTGTCAAGGCCAATGTCCTTATGACAGTAGAAGGAAAAGAGAGAGTGTGGTAGGTGATGAAGGGGGCGACAAGAAGAGGGACATCACTGCATCAGGCTGAGATGCATAGCCACCTGGAGATTAGCTCATCCAGGATGCTGCGCCTGCGGTGGCCTGACAACCAACGTCGATCACAGCGGATGCACGTTGTGATTGGTCTTTGTCTGACGGGTGGTATTTCATCTCAAGAGAATGACGAATTAGTATGAAGAGGATTCATACTCTCCCAAAGCAAAGCGATTATCTTAATACAAAAACTTATTCCTCCAAGTCCCACGGCGCATCCTCCTCCGAATCGTGCCCTTGTGCAGACTCCGGGGCCATGGGCGCAGGCGGAGCCGCAAGCGGAGGCTCATGCCTCCCCGAGACGCATCCAAGCCACGCGATCATGTCCCTCCCACAGCAGCTGTAGCGAAAGCCAATCGGGCAGCGCCGACGGTTGTACGGCGTGTCCTCGGGCGTCTCGATCCTCATGGCATGCCATATCGGCGAAGACGCGTTGACCTGCGGCGTTCCTGCAGGGCGCGTGTTCTGTTAGCTGGTGGCTTGGGGTTGGGGTGGAGGGAGACGTACCGCTGTGATAGTGACAAGCGTTGGGCCCGTTGTTGTCCAGGAAGTAGCTCCGATGGCAGTTGCCGCAGATCGCCTGTTCTGGGAGGTAGTTGAAGTTGCTGGGGGTGGGGGTGTCGGGGGTGGCATTCGTGATGCTGCGGGTGGTATTCGTAGTGTCGGGGGTGGTATTTATGGTGTTGGGTGAGTCATTCTTCCTGGTGTCCGGGGTGGCAAACATGGTGTCGGGGGTGGTAGGCGTGGTGCCGGAAGTCGGCGGCGGCGGTACTGTGACAGCTAGCGGTGGCTGCTGTTGTTCCGGCTGCTGGTCCTGGACCTCAATATTCTGGTGCTGATGCTGATTATGTGCTAGCTGGGCCTGCTGATGTTGTTGTTGGTGTTGATGCTGTTGCGGTTGCTGCTGTTGTTGCGAGGCTACGCTCAAGCCGTGATTGGTGACCACTTGGCGGTTGTTTGGGCTGTGACCAAACAAAACAGCATCTAATTCGGCAATGTCTTCGTGCGTAAAGCGTTGGTGTTGATGCTGTTGCGGTTGCTGCTGTTGCGGTTGCTGCTGTTGCGGTTGCTGCTGTTGCGGTTGCTGCTGTTGCGGTTGCTGCTGTTGCGGTTGCTGCTGTTGCGGTTGCTGCTGTTGCGGTTGCTTCTGTTGTTGCGAGGCTACGTTCAAGCCGAAATTGGTGAGGTCCACTTGGCGTTTCCCAAACAAAACAGCATTTAATTGGAAAACATCGTCGTTGGTCAAGCCATCCAGATCGTCTCCCTGTGCGCCCATCTTGGATCGGGGGCTGTCAAGCGTTGGTTCTGGTAGCTGATTAGGTAGGGAGACCGGCGCCAGGATGCGAATACAAAACTGACTGTGCAACTGGCCAGGCGAGAGATGACTGGTCGGGTCCGGTATATACGGAAACGACGATGACGACTGCGTAGAGAGAAAGAGCGGGACAGCTGACCGAATACGGTATATACGGGAAACGACGATAGCGACTGCGTGAATGGAAAGAGACAGAGCGACGCTACTTAGAAGTCGCGACCTACCGTCAGGTACTGTAATTTGTGACCGTCGCTGGGTAATTGATGGTGCTCAATGTTTGCATGTCTCCCCCTATCCCGTGGGCCGTTGCCCGGTACCCTTTATTAAGATAGTGCGGAGAGAAACAGGTGTGCTTGAAGACCACTGATGTGTGTCACCTTCTTGGTATATTGGACTGGAAAGATTCCCTGGAGGACTATTGACAGTGCTGACTCATAGATATGGTACTCCATGATGATAATGTTACCCCTTTCCGTGTTCCATAACCACGATGTTTACAAAATTACTAGACTTCCATGCCGAGTGACAATTATATCCTTTTCGGGCACCGGGATTGTACGTGTATTCCTGGTGTATGGCTTTGTTGAACCTTGCCTGCGTACGATATGATATAACATGTGTTTATGCGGCATGGGCCTGCATGGGAACGTGATAGAAAGAAGTGGTATGGACATTGCTGGAATTAAGGTAAATGAGTCTGAGGACTCATGACCTGTCCCATGGTTCGCCAATCTTCGTGTGAAGGTTCGCTCATAACGACATAAGTCGATCCTCTAAAATTGTCCATTAACTTCTTTAATGTCCCCTGTGCAGGAAGGTCAGGGTGTGCCTTCTGGCAGGGCCCAGAATACCATGTTACGATGACTATTATTCTGGATGTTCTGCTTCCTGTCTAGAAGGATGGGAGCGTGTCCCATCCGAAAGGTCACTTAAGTACTAGATACAGTGCAAACGGTACCTTGTCCCTTGGGCAACAATCCGGCCCAACCGACAAGATGCCTGACAGCTGGAACCAGCTGGATCCTCAAGGGTCTTCGTTTGCTCGTATCTAGCACATCATTCCATGCGCTATGTGCTAGGATCAAATGTCAGCCAAACCAACTCATCGGTGTCTTCTATAAAAAGCGCCTTCAATTTAATAAATTCGGTACAACAAATGTAATATCATTATTGCACTTCTTCTAACTATAGTTTATGGACATTAAAGGGGCTCAAGGCGAGACCAGTATCATAGTATGATTGCTAATCCTCACTTCTTAGGTATTTCTTTTTTTTTGTCCGCAAGGACAAAGACAAAGAAACAGAGCTCTTCAAGTAATGGTTACGGGAAAGAAATATGGACACTGACCTTGTCATCTACTCGGATGGATCACAGTTGGACGACCAAGGCACAACCCGCACTGGATGGGGTTACACCATCAGGAAAGGCAACACTACACAAGAAATATATCAGGGAAAAGGCAGACTTCTTTAAACAGAAGTAATAGATACTGAAGTCCATAGTGCTCTCCAAGGTCTTGTAACAGCCAGGGCAATTAGACGCAGAAAATGCCGATATGTCTGCCTGGACAACACGTCAGTGGTAGATGGGCTCAATGGGACTTCACCCGAGACATCACAGATCATTTTTCTACAATTCCAAGAACTTGCCACAACACACATTCCTGGAGTGACTGTCAAGTGGATTCCTGGACATAGAGATATTAATGGCAACAAAGCTGCTGACATACTAACAAAAGAGGGTGCCATACTAGAAACGGACACAACAAACCTTCCTATAATCTCTTGGATAAAAAGAGATCTCAAAAAAAAGAGCAAGAAAGAATTTAATTAATAATAAAAAAACCAATCAGAACTTAGGTATTAAGAAGTATACTCACATATAATAACTAAAAGGGACCTTATATATTTTAAAAGGAGCACTTTACACAGACTTCTAGCAGCCGGATCTGGACATGGCGACTTTGCTAGATATCACTAATGTTTTGGGCATACAGACTCGAATAATCACTACAACTGCGGTAAAAAGAAAACACCATAATATATTTTTTATTTATAAGAGGCTTGGGAAAAATTGACTGCTGCTTAGGTACTCGCCTAGGACAACCTGTTTACAGTATTTAGAGGAGAGGAGCACAGAATGGGCAAAATTCGTGGAGAAGAGCAAATTCTTCTCATCAATCTATCCCCAATAAATAGCTGTTCTTAAAGGACCAGATAGATGACCCCAAAGTCATCCAGCCGCAACAATGGGGATGGGCTCGTGAGCGGGACTGACTGTACTTATTATCCTGATACCTCCACAACCCTGCGATACAGAGGCTCTGGGAGGCGTGGTTTGCACTACTGAGGAGCGATCCCCCACGTTAAATACAATCAATCAATCAATTATTATCTTGATACCTCCACAACCCTGCGATGCAGAGGCTCTGGGAGGCGTGGTTTGCACTACTGAGGAGCGATCCCCCACGTTAAATACAATCAATCAATCAATTCTTAGGTATCTTTAACAACACCACTATGACCTATAACAATCCAGGCAACTGCACCACCAAGTCAATGCACTAATAATGCTCATCAGTTTGTCGCTCACTATGCTGGCAGTTCCGGCTCGAAATCCGAGAAGGGGCCCGGCATGCCGTTTACTGCCCTAACTGGAGCTGGCAAGGGCCAATGGCCCAGCATGGATCAAGGCCTTCATGAAGAGTGCCTGCTCGCCAAGAGTCGCCATATCGACATGCTCTCTTGGCCGGCTGCTGAGAATGTGGCTGTCTGCGTCGCCACAATTACGTCTGTCTTGAGCCGCGTTGGCAAAGGCATCATATATAATAGCAGCCGGGCCTCCAGGCATGAGCGTTGTGCCTGCCACTCCAACAACGCCTCAGGGTCCCGGTGCTCTGCAGGTACTGAAATCCTGGCTCCCCGGTATCACGACAGCCGTACCTGTGGAGACTGGGCCTGCGATTGGAGGATATCCCAAAGCGTCGCCACGACAACCGCGTGTAGCCTCAGGGAACCCACTGTCGATACTTCTGTATGCTGGAACATGACGTGGTTGGGTCGATACTTGTGAGGCCTGGCTGAGAGATTCGTAGCAAAACAATACCAGATACTGTGAGATTTCAAACCGTTCTGTATTGAAAGGAAAGAGAAGAAGATCTCTGGGGGAGAAGCCCCCATATGTACAGGTGTGCCATCAGGGTGACCAGATAATCATACGATAATGGCGCCAGGATCCTGGTGGCCTGAGGGTGGGCTGACTGCCCTGAAGCTAAACCCATTAGCGCATTCAGCCCCGAAAGCCTCAGCCTGGTATGATATCCAACAGATACATACCAAAACTATGTACCATGCCTTCCCCAAGAAAACCCAGTTCTACCAGTATGCACCCTACGATCCCCCCGATGAAACTTCATATCCTTATCCTCATCCTTCCCCGGCCACAAAAGCTTCCCCTCCCATAGCGCTTTGATATGAAAGACGGCCGTGAACAACCACATGATGACAAGCATAATCGTCAGAGCGCTACAAATGCCGTTGATACCAGCACTGTTATTGAACGCTTTCCCAACCTGAATCGCCGCTAACGTTAACCCAGCGTTGGGGAAGACGAACGCCCACCAGTTTAGGGTGAAGGTCATTCTTTTGCTTCCGGATATGACGGCGACGGTGGAGATGAAGAAGAACCAGAGGGCGAAGAGGATGATGAAAGTCCCGGACATGATGCCCATGACTTTTACGATGTCGCCGTCGGGGAGGGAGGAAGACATGTTGAAGACGTGTGGGGGGAGGATGTTGGGAGCGCGGGTACCTAGGGAGATGAGGCCGGCTGCTGTGTAACCTATCATTATTTGTGTTAGTGAGATGTTCGAGTTTGTAATGGGACGGGGGATGATGAGGAGGGCACGTACCGGCTGGCCCAACACTGACGTACATCCCCGGCCTAGTAGGCGGAGGAGGTAGGACGCTGGACATGAGTCGCAGCGTGTATATTGTATACATCATCAGTGCCACCGTCCATGCAAGACCCTGTAGCATTACTGCGCTCACCCACATGGGATACGCCGCGCTCTGCGGCTGACTCGGTATGAAAGTCCCAGCCATAGGTCCAATAACCAGCAATGGGTAGATAGGGAAGATCCACGCCGGTAAGGCATTCTCCACAGCCAACCTCTCCTCTTGAAAGAAAGTGTAGTACTGGAAGACCGCCACCAGCAGTACAGTACCGACGTACATCCAGTACAGCACTTCTATTGCTTTTACAAGCCAGGGTCCGGTATGAGGCACGCCATACGCTTGCATGCAGTTCAATATGAGCGAGACGCTGACCCAGTATGCGCCAAAGAATAGCCCCTCAACAGGATGGTGTAAGGATGCAGTGAGCTTCGCAGGGACGAGGATGAAGCGCGTAGCCATCATAGCGTTGAAGAGGGCGAAGAGTATGAGGTCGAGGATGAAGAAGATCTTGCCGATGGTTTGCAGGCCGTCGAAGCGGTTGGGCGTTTGGGCGAGGACGACGGCGATGGCGCCTGTGGACATTGTGCATGCGAACCATGGCCTTTGCATTGCCCGTTAGCGATGGTGGTGTTGCAGTGCTAGAGTGTGCGGTTTGATTGTCCATACCAAGTGAAGTGTTCTAGTCGGTCTCGTAGACCTACCTTTCCTGGAGGCCCGGCTTCATCTGGATCACTGCCTTCCTGCTCTTTCTTGGTGCGTTCCTCGTCCGCCTCTGCGCCGCCGCGAGCAACGAATCGCGGCATCCCCTGACTATTGTTGTCGTGGTCGCCCTCCTCTTCTTCTGACTCGGCGATCTCTTTCTACGCGTACGTGGCGAAAGAGCAGAAAGAGCAGAAACACGTAGCGTAGGAGATGCGATGAGAGGAGACGGGCGAAGATGGCAAACCGTGTGTTGATGCTCTACCTACATAATCATGCTCTACCTACATCATCCATGCAACCACCGCCTTGGAAGTGGTCAGTAGTGCTTTCGTCATTGGTCCCACATAGTTGGCAAGGTCGAGATTGTTAGACTTTGTCGGTCGGTCTAAGATCTACTAGAGTATGCTCGGAACTTGGCCCAAGGATCTTCTAGTGCAAAGCTTGGCATCGCAAAATTTGTCGTCTGCGTCTCTACCGGCACTGCTCGGAGATATACTGCTTGAAGTATACCTAAATAGTAATGCAACCACAAAGTGAAGGGCGCTCAGAAGGGCAGCCACGAAGATATGAGACAAGAGGGAGTCAAAGTGTTGGATGAAATTTCACGCTCCAGCAGCCACTTTACAGAATCAAAGAATGCTCGGGCACACCGAATCACTTTGAGACTTGTGTGATCCGCATAACAGCACGATCTCGATCAAGCGGCCCCTCTGGCTATCTGAAGCAGCCGCGACGCAAGATGGTAGAGATATGCAGGCGAAGCCCTGAAACACTTCGACACTGAATACCTTCATTAGTTTCCTGTCAAAATGGCATGTTCATGGACTTGGACTTGTACTGTGGCGACTCGAAGGGGAGGTGGATGTGCTATAAGTCCCCGAACGATTGGTAACTCGAAAAAGGATGGGGGCGATGGAGACAACCACTGTATGTTTGTAACGCGTTTGATGGCGAAAGCCTTGTCACGAGAGCAAACGAAACACGCACGGTCAAGAGCGAATATGAAGGAACTTCGACGCCCCTTTCCGTAACCGCGACTGTGACCGCAGAACTTTCTGGAGTATACAAGACTTCTCCTTTCCTTCAAATACTTCTCCTTTCCTTCAAATACTTCTCCTTTCCTTCAAAGACTTCTCCTTCCACAAACCGAACACCAACCTCCAACATTCAACCTTTCTTCTTTGCACACTTGATCTTTCCTTGACCTCCAACTTACACTACCACCCGACTGCCGTTGTCATCAACCAATAGCACCAAGCGTTTTGCCACCACCTTCACTGTCCTCGCCGCTGCAGCCACTACACTCACCATCGTCTCGCCTTTCCAGTAAGCCAACTACCATGCAACGACCTTTTGCCATGAGGGTGCATACTTGCTGGATTGTCATAGCCACGCGATCCGAGATATCTACTGGGACCAGAAAGGCACAGAGGCAGCGTGTACAAGTCAAGTTGAAATAAGGTGGTGGTGATTGTTACGAGTCCTCATTTAACCTAGAGCTCGTCACTTTGGTTTTCAGGCTTTCAATGTTGAACATAGGTCAGGACACCCAGAGAGAGAAAAAGCGGCTGACGTAGCGTTTCTAAAACTGCTCGGTGCCTAGGGCATGGCAGTTCAACGAGCAAAGTACCATTGAGTGTGAAAGAGTTGTCGCTGCTCGTCAGGCGATGATAATCAGCTGCATTTCTCCTGGCTTCAATGCAAGTGGGAAGATGATGACGAGAATGAGGCCCGTTGGCAGCACCCTGATTACGAATGGATGCTAGTTCGCGATACCCTGCTCAAACTTATTCGATCAATTTCGATCCCACCCTGAACAGGAACCTCTCTGACAACATCCTATCGCGGTACCGTTCTGGTCGCTGGTCCAGAGCGGAACGATAATGTCGCAGCTGTCCTGGCTACCAGCTAGGACAACATCACGACTGGTGAGGTTCAACCATTGCTTATAAGCACAATCACCAAGGACCTAGCTTGAACGCGACCAATTGCAGATGTTGACACATACGACCGTCGTCTTCAGATACATTTGTCCAATGTCCACAACTCTCGCGCTATTCCAACAGCTACAGGTACTCGCGGCCACATAGTTATAACGGAAACACATCGGCTCTGGCTATGAGCGAAGCCATGATGATGAATCAGATAGCTTGACGGGGTCGCGTAGGAAGATGTCATCGAATCCGAAAATATCTGTGTCCTTGATCTAGGCCTTCTTCTCAAGAGACAGCGTGCCCTGAGTTGATATTGTTCAGGATCTGTTCACTGACCTCGGAATCGAGTAGAGGCTGGCGATGCATGGTGCAGGAGCCCACGTGTGCGAATGGGCTGTTTTATCGCATCGAACGAGAGGGCCTCCGGAGAACGATACGCTACGCCGTGAAATCATAGTTAGTTGGGAGAGGATAATGTATGATTTCTTTTCCCATTACTCACGCCAGTTCCCGGAAAGACAAAATGATACGCGAGAGGAATTCCGGACTAATGCTTACAAACCACAACCGGCTGCCACCCACGAAGGCTTGGCGCCTTACATATTACCGACAGGCCGCTGAAAGAAATCATAGCAGTCTCCGGATTCCGAGCCACTTAGTCCGCCATAGTTACCGACACCCCCGGCTGCTAGGGTCGAGCGAAAAGACGGGCCGATGGCGTCGATGGCGCCCGCTCCGCTCCGCTCGTGGCCCGGGAAGTCTCGACGTTCGACCATCCCGGCTAAAACTGATTAGGGGGCCCCGGATCCCTTATAACTGTGTAGTTCGATGATTCGGTGAGAGCGCCGACTTCGACGGGCTACTTATAAGATGCTGAAAGCTGTCTTGTAGCCTTGATATTGACGGGTTGTACAGACGGAGAATTCGTGCTGCTTGGGTGATATGCACCCCGGATAATATATGTCAGTGTCATGAAGCTGCAAATGTGTGTCTATCATGTCTTTCACTGTGCGGCACTCCTTTCCCACTGCAGCCTGAGGGCAGGTGGCGACTCGGTGAGCGGACTCTCCTGGCCCTGACTCCTGACGGGAAATCTAGACCCTGAACGAGATGGCCTGTTGACTGGAAAATCTGTGATTCGTGGGGGCGAGGTCGTGAACGGCATATGCGGCGTATGAAGCATGTGGGTCGATTATAGAACAGGGTCTCAACCGCTTTCGTGTGCTCATCCAGGTACGTCCCGAAATGCCCCCATTCTAATCATCTCTTGAAGCTTACGAGAACATGTAATGCTGTCTCCAATCTAATGTAACGGAGTAAGTTCTCCCGAAAGGACTAATTCTTTGAGCAGGGCATCTTGCCTCTGGACCTAGGATACGGAATATGTCCTGCGTGTCTCACGTAAGCTTTTGCGTCACAGGGGATGAGGCTGACACTTTCTCACCAACAAGGCGTCCATGATTGACCATGTGTTGGATTCTGGGCTACGTTAGCCCATCCATAGTCATCCTTCAGGTCACCATCCCCATTCGTGACTCTGTCACATACGTGGCCAATATAAGGCCACGTATCCTTTCCTTCAGTATCTTGGATATATATAGGGCCACTCTGGCCGCTCCAGAGTAGCTGGAATTCCTCTCCTCAATAGAACACTTTGAAATCTCACACCATGTAGGAAGTCATGACGTCTGCATTGATTTCCAGTATAGTATTGACATGTGGTTTTAGCAGCGCAGTACTTCGTAAGCACCACTGAGCCGGGCCTTTATACGACGGCAGCATCTTATCGCCGGACGCTGACATGATACAGTGATTGAGTAACATTCACAGTGTCCTCATCTGATGTAAGACCTGGCTTCTTGCCGCTTCTATGCAGTCCAACGTCAGGGACCCTTGCAGGGTTTGCTTGATTTTATTTGCCGATTGACTAGGGTACATAGATATAAGGTTCCCCGCCTTAAGTCCCTTAGTAATATTATTCTACAACTCAGGGCTCACCGGATCCTCGTTGCAGTGTCGTATGTTTGTACAAACATAACTTATTGTACGACGTGATTACCAACACTTACAAAACACTTACAAACAGCTCCAGCGGTCCCACGCTTCCAGGGTGAAAGCTTGAAATCGTCTCTCACGCTAAGCTGCTGCCTAAACCAGCGGTCACGGCTCGGCAGTCGTCTTCGGAAAACATCAGATGGCACGTGATAATGCGACTCTGATATCTCTAGTCTATGCCGGGGTGCAACTTTCCGGAAGAGGATTAGTGTGAGCCGGCTGTTATATCGCATCGTGAGCGACTACTAACTGTATACTTCATGGTGGCGATTCCTGCAGAAATCATACCGACAAGTCAGTGACATGACAAGCTACATGGACGCCCCTCAAGCCTGGACGAGCTCGATGTTTGCAAGGGTCGAGAGACTTGATATTTCCCGATGGATGACCCAAGGGAACGGATGTTTGCCTTGGTCAAATCACAGGTGGATATGTGGAGTGGAGCAAGGGGGAGATGACATAGTGGCGCCCCCACTGGTCACCAGTCACCTTGCAAGTTACAACCAGGGTCTAGAGTCCAGACCGCCAGCCCGGATAATCACAGGCTGCTGCATAGGATGTCAGGGACTAATGATATCTCACGACGGAGAATATTGACAACGGTCCAATAACTACTTAAAAGGCAGGGGTGCCATCGTCGTCGAGGCCAATGTCCAACATCCTCATCACGACACGGACGACTCGCAACTCAATCTACAATCTCCAACATTCCTACGACCACGACCATCATCACTTACACCACAACTGCCACCATGCGTTTCTCCATTGTCTCCGTCTTGGCTCTTGCCGCCAGCGTCCAGGCCATGCCAGCGGTTAGCCCTCGCTCAGAGACCGGCTGCCGCGTTGCTCTGAAGGCGACTCTCGCGAAGCCCCAGAAGGCCGCAGAGGACATCCTGCTCTGTAAGACTAGTTACTTCTCCGCCATACCGCAGTTCCAGCTGACACACCACTAGACTCCATGTCCAAATGGACGAAGAGCACTGGAACCTCCGACTTCTCATCAGTAAGACGACACCCATGACCGAAGTAGCACATATCCGGCTGACATTTAACCACAGAACTACATGGACACGAAAAACACCACTGCAGCCCCCTACTCGATCGTCTTCAAGGCCAACATGATTCCGGGCTACGAGACTGACGCCGAGATCAGGGCTGTGCTGGATACCTGGGTTGGCACTTACATTATTGGCGGCGAAACTGCGCAGAACAACTGGGAGGTCACTGGTGTGGCGTGCTCGTGAGCTGGTGCAGATGTTTTTTGGGCTCCTGTGTGGATGATTCACTAGTCGTCGATATGATCACGGACCAATGATACCATACCCTTTCGAGAAATCTGACATTCGTGTATTTGTCACCTGCTCGGCCGCATTGTATGCGCTGGTGATTCTATCGCTAGCGTGGCCGAAGTTATTTCCCATCATTCTCGGCGCAAGTACCTGATCATAGACCCGTTGATGACTGCTACTTGAGCAGAGCCAAGCTGACCAGTCATATCACGGGTTCACTACGGTGTGGACAACGATTGCACTATACGTCTCTTGCGAACTGTCAACTAATATCGCGTGCACTGACTGGTTCTTCCGTCGTGTAAGCAGCCAGGACTCGCGAATACATAAGGGACGAAACTTCAATGGGCCAATGGCAACTGCCCCATCATCGTACGCAATGGGATTTCCGCTGCGGCATCCAAAATTTGCTGACGAGTGGTTCATTCTTGAATCATCTTCATGAAGTGCACCGTTCGAAGCACAAACTTTGGGACATGATGTTTGCCAATTAAGCTTGGGTTACTCGTGGTGAATCCCATAGTCACATGAGAGACTCGCCATTGGCACGGTCCAGTACAAAGTCACTGTGGCTTGACTAACATTGAAGAGCATATAGGCCGTGATGAATAGGGGCTGGTTCATATGCGCCACGTTTCAAGACGTGGATATAGTTCAACGTCCGAATAATCTCTTCCACCACAACGGAGCTCAGGGGTCCAACGACGTGACCGACCAGCAGCCGTTGCACGTCATGTTCCGTTTTGGCCCTTATGTAATGTAATAGTGCCCGGTCTTCCACGATTTTGACCACGCTTTTGTGTAAGTCTATGTCAGTCGGATAGATGGATTGTGTTCCAAAAGTAAGCAGGCACTATGGACTTTTCCCTTATGTTTACGTGATTAAATTAAGAGGTTCATCGTACGTGGAAGACTGAAGATCCAAAGGCCATTATTTTGCAGGTACATCATCCAGTTTGTATATGATCAAGGCACCAAGTATCAAGGCTTCTGAGATTACCGTCACGATGCAATGTGCCATTTTCACTTCGCTCTTGGGCAAGGTATACCTACCCCTTCCCTGACGATGCCTCTAGGCGCTCTTATACCATCAGACTTGACTTGTCCATCTAGTTTGCGATGCTAATGCATAAAGTCTAGAACGAGACATCTAGTGACATGATGGACTTTCATCTCGTGCTACAGTAACACAGAGACATGGAGTGAGGCATTATGGATATCGTGACCAGGTAACAACCTTCATATCATTAACGCCGAAAGTGGACGACATGACCAGGCAGACCAGGTAACAGCCAGACTGTTAACTCCGAAGGTGGGTACCTCGAGCTGCCGAGGGGAGGAAGCTCCGGTCCACAAGGGAAGAGCCGGTTCCCCCTGACGTCACCTCATCAAGCGCATTTTTAGCTTCCATTGTGCTGTTGATCACAACCTTAACGACATCAAAGCTCGTCAGAGAAGCCAGACATCCAATCCTCGCCGTCAAATCAATTGAACAGAGCGAAGCATCTGATATACTACGGCTTAAGCAATTGCGATACTACCGTTCCGACCTCTATACACGCATTCCACATACAACCAGCCGACGCCGACCCAAAACACCAACCGCCCACGCCACAATGCAGTCCATCCGCACCCTCCTCCGCGCCAGCAGCAGAGCTCCCGCATCAGCCGCCCGCCTGACCACCAACACTACCAGCATCCGTCTCGCCCGGCCGATCCACCAGTCGGCAGCACTACAACTCCCCTACAAGGACGACCAGGACCGCAATTCCCTCAAGCCGCGGGCGCACGAGTACACGGGCAGCGGGACGGACGAGGGCACGGCGGCCAACGAGGACGCGGCCTTCAACCCGGACAAGACGAGCCCCGAGGCCGCCAAGGAGACCGCGGGTAAGGGCAACGACACCAACCCGCTCGAGGTCAGCCCCGCCAACCCGGACACGGCCAAGGCCGGCCGCGGCAAGGAGGACGACAGGCCCCATGGGGGGCAGTCCAAGGCGAGCCGGGGCGGGGACGCGCCGAAGGCTGGGAAGGTTTAGTCTGATGGAGGGGAGATATTGGGGGGTGATCATGATGGGCAGATTGGGGACACACACGTAAGGGATGTTGTGAGTGGTATGGGGGCCTGAATGAGGGTGGGAGACGGGCGAGGCCGTGGAGCTGGTTACGTTGTACATTCCGCAATTCTTTTACGGAGTTCTGGTTGCAGTGTTTATCGTTTACCAATGGATGAATGCATGCACCATACCAACCAGCATCATGCTATGTAACTTATGAAGTGTTCTCGTGAGGCTCGTGTCTCATCAATTGGGTATCGCCCCTCCAGCACAATGCCCTCGTGAGCCCTCATATGAGAAGCCTCTAACCATCCACAACCTCCTCAACCTCCTCAACCATAGAGCCCATCGACATCATCCTGCTCGTCCTCCTCAACCATAGAGCCCATCGACATCATCCTGCTCGTCCTCCTCATCATCCTTCGGCACCTCGACGACCCTCTTCTTCGTCAGGTCCATGCGACACATGGGGCAGTTGCCCTTGCTCAGCAGCCAGGGCCCCGCACACTCCAAATCGTACCTGTGCCGCCCGTGGCATGGCAGCTCCACCACCAGGCAGTACTTGTCGTCGAGGTACTTCCCGCGGCAGATCGGGCAGCTGTCGTCAACCTCCAACGCCTTGCGCGGCACGCGCTCTAGTGTATCTAGGTACTCCTGCGTCACGCCTGGCACGTGGTCGGGCGGCGCGGCGATGTCGCCCTCCAGCACCCCCATCAGCTGCTCGAGGAAGCGCTGGTTCTCGGCGTCGGGCGCGTCATTGCGGAGCGTCGCGAGCTGGTCCTGCACCAGCCGGTAGAGCGCCGCTGTGTCGACGGGCGTTGGACCTGCGCGGTGCGGTTGCGAGGCGTCTTGCGAGATCTGGTGCAGGTGCGATGTGAAGCTTGACATGTCGGGACGCCGGCGGTGCGGCTGGCTCGTCGGCGCTTGGATGTTGTGCTCGACTGGTTTCCCGGGGTTAGTCCTGTGAGCTTTGGGTTGTGCTGGGAGCTTGGAGCTGTGGGTGGCAGAGGGAGGAGTTGGAGACTTACCTTCGTACGGATTGCTGGCCATAGTGGGCGATGTGTCTGATTGTAATGTTGGGAGACTTCGGTTCCGAGCCGACGATCCTACTAGATACGGGAGAAGAAGCTTGCAGATACGGTGAGTATCGTTGGTGGTTTTGGCAGATGGCGGCGATATTGGAAGATGGAAAGCTCTCTCTTCGGGCCCCCGATTGCCCCGCCAAGGCATGGCCGGCAGTAGGCCTAGCCGGCAGGCACCGTTTGCGCCGCGCGTTTGTGCCAGCCCCACTGGCGGATGTGGCTTGCACTCCAGTCTGACTCGTTGGTGCACTAGCGAAATAGGGGTCTTAAAGTCAACCTATAGTACACTCAACCGGCACCCAGTAACAGGTATGATGTCTGCGTGATAGGTAAGACCTCACGCTAGAACCTAAACTTATATCCTAAGCCGCCACAGCTGGCTCCAGCTGTGAAGCCTGGGAAATGGAGAGTGAATACAAGCTATTTACTTACACTGGTAAGAGTCAAGAGTTGGGACTGAGACTCGCTTCTAGCTACTACTGATTACGAAGATGGCGAGTAAGATGAATGGAGCATCAGGGGCCGCGATTGTAATAGCCAATGCAGTATTGGTGTCCGAGGACGCAGTTTCAAATGGAGTCGCACAAAGGGGCAGACGCTTCTCTGATTTCCACCGAAAGGGAAAATGCAAGTCTGGGTTCAGTTTCACCCACACTGCTGGTGTGGACTCATTCCGAAATGCCAACGACAGGCTCCAGTGTCGCCGACTTGGCCTGGTTAAGTCATGGTGACCTCAATCAAGGTCTCATCAACGTTAGCAAAGCAGCAGCAAGAAGACATGAAGCTTTTTTGCAAGCCAGCCAAAGCCGGAAACCGAGTGAAACTCCTGCTTGGCTGAATTAAGTAGCGACATCCGAAGGAGTAGACAACGCAGCACCGTCTGGGGCTGACATTATGTTACTCCAGGTAGTGAGCTTGAAGAGGTTCGATGTTAGTTACTGAAGGTATAGGCAGCCACCTCAAGACGGGCTTAGAGCTGGCTCGTATACGCCGTCGTTTGCCCGACCAGGCTCTTTTGCAGGGTGTAGCCGCACTGCACGGACGGACCCGTCGTCCAGAAGAGCGTCAAATGAGTCCCTTAGTTGCCGGATTCTTGGAAACAACCGAGCTCGAAGCTTGTGGGATGCTTGGCTTGGGTTTCATTGCCATTACCAACTGCGGACAACGATCCTGGCGAACAGTCCATGCATTCCTGCATTGGCCACTTCCTCATAAGCGAATGGGGGTGTGCCTAGACGGCGAATTCGTCATGTTCATCATAGTAGACGTCCACCTTGCATAAATCTACGATGGTGCTAATAGCAGCACTTTTGGACCCGTATACAGCCTATGTGGATTTTGTAAGACGGAAATCCATTCCTATAGAGCTTTTCCAAGCGATATGTACAAAATGAGTGATGGTGTCCGGCTGAGCCGTATGTACACAGAAGAGTAAAGGGGCTTGCCCCATGAGCCATATGTACAAAGAAGATGATGAACACAACACGAGCTCTCACCAGAGCAGCTTCTTCTCCTCATCCTCCATCAGCCCAGTCCAGCTGCAGTCTCGTTCCATGAGCGCTGTCCGGCTAGGGCGGTTCAGCAGGTGAAGCCACCGTCCATGTCAAGAGTGCTCCTGTCCGAGAAGGTACTGGTAAGGTCCCATTGCCCGACCTTGCAGTGGGCATTCTGCGACTTGGCCTTGCCACTCCCGAAGGTCGTGTCTCCGTAGATGAAGCTCACCTGGCGCAAGATATTAGCTGCGATCCTACTGAAAACCAAGAAAAGAAGAAGAAAAAAAACCCCAAAAAAACTGAAACGATTGCACCTACCTCGTCCTTGCCCTTGTCGGCGGGGAAGTTGACGCTGACGTCCAGCTCCTTGGGGAGGTTCTGGCTCTTGAAGATGATGACGTTGCCGTCGTCGTTCGACTGCTCGTCGGTCCACATCTGGAACCCGTTGGCGTCGTAGATTGTGATCTGCGCCTTGTGGCCGTTGTTGTCGCCACCCTTGGCGACCTCATGGATGTGCAGGGTGCACCAGCCGCCGGCGAACCGCTTCTCGACGGCTGGATGGGGTTATACCATCAGGAAAGGCGGCACTACACAAGAAGTATACCGGGGAAAGGGCAGACTTCTCCAAGCAGAAGTAGTAGATGCTAAAGTCCATGGTGCTCTCCAAGGTCTTGCAGCAGCCAGGGTAATTGGACACAGAAAACAGCTATATGTCTGCCTGGACAACACGTCAGTGGTAGATGGGCTCAATGGGACTCCACCCGAGACATCACAGAACATTTTTCTACGATTTCAAGAACTTGCCACAGCACACACTCCTAGAGTGACTGTCAAGTGGATTCCTGGACATAGAGATATTGATGGCAATGAAGCTGCCGACACATTAGCAAAAGAGGGTGCCATGCTAGAAACAGACACAATAAGCCTTCTTACAATCTCTTAGGTCAAGAAAGATCTTAAAAAAAAAAGGGCAAGAAAGAGTTCAACCAATGATAAAAAGACTGATCAGAACCTAGATATCAAGAAATATACTTATATACAGTAACTAAAAGAGACTTTATATCTTTTAAAAGGAGTACTTTATATAGACTTCTAGCGGCCAGATCTAGACATGGCGACTTTACCAGATACTATGAACGCTTTGGGCATACAGACTCGAATGATCACTACAACTGTGGTGAAAAGAAAACACCACAATACATTTTTTTTTGTAAGAGGCTAGGGAAAAACCGGCTGTTGCCTAGATACTTGCCTAGGACAGCTTGTTTACAATACTTAAGGGAGAGGAGCACAGAATGGGCAAAATTCGTGGAGAAGAGCAAGTTCTTTTCAACAATCTGCCCCCGATAGATAGCTTTTTTTGAAGGACCAGATAGATGACCCCAAGGTCATACCGCCGCAACAACGGGGGTGGGCCCGTCAGCGGGACTGACTGTACTTATTATCTTGAGACCTCCACAACCCTGCGATACAGAGGCTCTGGGAGGCGTGGTTTGCACTACTGAGGAGCTACCCCCCACGTTAAATACAAAACAAACAAAACAAACAAACAAACGCTTCTCGACGGCTGCGGCGGCGTTGCTGTTGTCGGTGACTGGCGCGGCGACCGAGAGCCCGGCCAGGGCGAGGAAGGAGGCGACGGTGGTTGAGGCGTACATGGTCGGTGTATGGAGTTGGGGGAAGTCTGAAGATGTGATGATGTTGTTGAAGGTCGGTCGTGGTGTTGGTAGTAATCAAGTTGATCTGAGAGTCTGGACTGATGTGGTTTGTTGTGCTGTGAGCTGTTTCACTGACTGACCTTCTCGAGGTTTCCTACTCTTATATAGAGATCTACTGTCCCCAACATCCAGATGATGGCTCTATCTCGGGCCTTCTTTCTCAACGCACTGACTGCCCTTCCCTTGACTTGGCGATCACTGGACTGTTCATCTAGCTTGGGACTCGAACCCTAAAGTTTTCTATAATTGGTGATTGCAACACAAGAGACACCACGATGTCCAAGAATAACGTCATTTTCGAGGCTGTCCCGGAGACCAGAGCTTAGTAAGGTGAATCTAAGGGTCCAATTCTCCATCCGCAATGTCATAACCAGACGATTCCCAAACGCCGGTCAAGGCCCAGGTCTAAAGACTGGATAACAGTTGTCGGAAGTAATTTGACACATCAGGAGCCAGATTTAGGTTTCCCGCTGATGCACATCGGCACGGGATGTCAGCTTGACCGATGCTTCGCCCCCATCGGAACGGGATCAAGTTGGTATCCCGTGTTTGCGCTGAAGTTTAGCCCGAGCGGCGTGAGTGATGCTCCGTGATGGTCCGTGAAGCTGGCACTATATAGGTAGCGCAAGAACGGGGAAGAGGCTAGGCGGTGCTAGCTAATGTCATTGTTTCACCAATTGCACAGTACCCCCTAGCTTATATAGGAGCTCACGGTTCGCTATGCGCACTTTACAGCTTGAAAGCTAAACAAGTCACTGTTTGGGGATGTTTAGTTCATGAGACATCATCAGTTTGAACTCCATGAAAGGGGACTATGTATCTACAATTTTTGAGAGGAAATAGCGTCCCGTCAAGGTCAACAAGATGTTTGAAGGGACATGAGTGCAAGTACTCCGACTTTCGGAAGAGATAAAATAGGGCTGAGGCTGATGTAAGAGCTAGGCCAGCTCCGTTCTCTAAGTCGACGATGCTGAACTCAGTACAAATCACAGTTACTCGAGAATGACGGTCAGTCAGATTAGAATCGGGGAAAGGGAGGAAATGAATGGTAATAAGGAATAAGGAATACTAATATACAGATTAACAGAACACAAGCTCTAATGCGGATGATAGTGCAAGCCTTCCTTCCTCGCTCACTCATGAGACATAGCTGCAACTCATCGAGCTGATCACGTCGTTAAAGTCCACATCGTTGGGGTCGTCGTTCTTATGCTTGTTCTTCAGATTCAGGATCTGGCCCGTAGTCGAGAACGAGCCACCCTTGTAATCGATATCGCGAAAGAATGCGCAGTCAAAGCCCCGCGCGTCGAGCGCCGTGATGGAGTCGTTCATGGGGTCGTCCATGTTCTTGCACTGGTCCGGGATGAACCACGCGATGGTGCAAAAGTTGTCGCCGTCCGTAGAATTGTCGAGACTGTCGTCTGTGCAGATTCGAGCGTAGTCATTGTCACCGTAGGTCTGGGCGCGTGGGATGGGGTGGCTTCTATCAACGGGGCTGGCGACGGTGGGGGAGGAGAAGAAGAGCATCGCGAGCGCGGGAATCGTCGTTGCTGCGATGGACTTCATGATTGAGAGGAATTATTGCGATAAGGGCCCCGGTGAGCAAGTCGAGCTGACATCTTCTGGTGTGCGTCGGTTTTGGTGTGAGCTGCAGTCTTGGATTCTAGGTAGGTGACGTTTCGTGTTGCCGTTGGGTGCTCAAACAAACTGATCGCGTTTGACTCTGGTGAAGCCTCACTTAACGCCTTTCTTTATAAGGGCTGTGGACACAACCCGGTCGACTCGAATGACGTATACTCGGCCGTCCTGTTGCTATTTCACGCAACGTACATGTTTTGGATTTTATGTGCCGCATGCTAACTCCTCACAACATCCTCCAAGGCAGTTGTGATTCCCTACAACGACGACAGGTTGCTGTGCCATACCATCCCCCCCCTACATCTCGGACACCCCCACATCTCGTATAGCAAAACCCCACCACCACCACCTAAACCCTATATGTTCACTTATACGCTTTCAGCCCAATTTTGAAGCTGTTCAGAATGTATTTAGTGCTCTAGATAGCCCTGATCTTAAGGTTTAATCCAATATAGAACTTACCCCGCGCAGTGTACGTAATTAGCTGTCTATTACCCCGCGTTTCCTACCCCGAATAGAGATTTTCGGGTGCTGGAGCCTCGTCTGAAGCCTTGTTCTGTATGCACCGCAGCATCGTATAACCGCCTAGAATGCCTCCCAAACCGTATACGGAGGATCAGATGGCGAATGCCATCTTAGATATCACGGATGAGGGCCTTTCGCTGCGAAAAAGCGCTCAAAAATACGGCGTCCCTGTCACAACGCTCTCTGACCGACTTAACGGCAAGCCCTCAAAAAGCGAAGGCCATATATATTGTTTGTTTTGTATTTAACGTGGGGGTAGCTCCTCAGTAGTGCAAGCCACGCCTCCCAGAGCCTCTGCATCGCAGGGTTGTGGAGGTCTCAAGATAATAAGTACAGTCAGTCCCGCTCACGGGCCCATCCCCGTTGTTGCAGCGGTATGACCTTGGGGTCATCCATCTGGTCCTTCAAGGAAGGCTATCTATTGGGGGCAGATTGTTGAAAAGAACTTGCTCTTCTCCACGAATTTTGCCCATTCTGTGCTCCTCTCCCCTAAGTATTGTAAACAAACTGCCCTAGGCGAATGCCTAGGCAGTAGCCAATTTTTCCCCAGTTTCTTACAAAAGAAAATGTGTTGTGGTGTTTTCTTCTCACCACAGCTGCAGTGATCATTTGAGTCTGTGTGCCCAAAGCGTTCATGGTATCTGGCAAAGTCGCCATGTCCAGATCTGGCCGCTAGAAGTCTGTGTAAAGTACTCCTCTTAAAAGATATAAGGTCTCTTTCAGTTACTGTATGTGAGTATACTTCTTGATACCTAGATTCTGATTGGTCTTTCTACCATTGGTTGAACTCTTTCTTGCCCTGTCTTTTGAGATCTCTCTTGACCCAAGAGATTATAGGAAGATTTGTTGTGTCTGTTTCCAGCATGGCACCCTCTTTTGCTAGTGTGTCGGCAGCTTTGTTGCCATTAATATCTCTGTGTCCAGGAATCCATTTGACGGTCACTCCAGGAGTGTGTGCTGTGGCAAGTTCTTGAAATCGTAGAAAAATGTTTTGTGATGTCTCGGGTGGAGTCCCATTGAGCCTATCTACCACTGACGTGTTGTCCAGGCAGACATATAGCTATTTTCCATGTCCAATTGCCCTGGCTGCTACAAGACCTTGGAGAGCACCATGGACTTCAGCATCTACTACTTCTGCTTGTAGAAGTCTGTCCCTTCCCCGGTATACTTCTTGTGTAGTGCCGCCTTTCCTGATGGTATAACCCCATCCAGTGCGGATTGTGCCTTGGTCATCCAACTGTGATCCATCTGAGTAGATGACAAGGTCAGTGTTCACGTTTCTCTCTTGTAACCATTGCTTGAAGAGCTCTATTTCTTTGTCTTTGTCTTTGCGGATTGGGCGCTTCTTCCATGATGGCCTGGTAAGTATTGGTCTCTGGAAGTCAGGGACTAGCTGGAAGCTCCTTTATAGCCTTGTTGGATCCTTGCGTGCTTGTATTTGGAGCCTGCCAACAAGAGGGTATCTCTGGTCTATTTGTCCTAGTCGGAGGCCGTGACGTCGTCTTATTGACTCTGTAAGAACTCCTGCTGGGGGAATCTGCGATTCAAAGTGTAAGATATGTCCAGGGTGTGTTTTCCAGACTGGCAAGATAGCCCTGATCGCCGTTCGTAGTACGGCATCTATTATTCCAAGAAGCCCCTTAATGCGACATGCTGATGTCTCACCTAAGCTCCCAGCTTTCTTGATTCTTGGGTACCAGGCCTCCAGGCCATGTGTGAGAATAGGAATAACACAAGCTTTCACAGCCCTCTTGGTTGACTTTACTGGAAGTCCTTTGACTGTGTTGCATAGTCCTCGAAGGTGGTTTGCTACCCTACTAGCTTTCTTGGCCCAGTAGGAAACGTGATCTTTGAAGTTCAGTTTTCTATCCAGGAAGATACCCAGCCATCGCATGGAGTTCTTTGCTGTTCTGTTTATTGTCCTGTGACGGACTGGAGGATTGTCTGAGTTCTTTTTCTATGAGAAGTGCATGATCTCGGTTTTGTCGGGGTCAAACTCAATAGCATTATTGTGTCCCTATTGGTTAAGTAAATAAAGGTTTTTAGAAGCCTTTGTAACTGTTTCCTTAAGGTTCTTTCCAATACAGAGAGTCGCTAGGTCGTCTGCATATCCAAAGCGTCTCCTTTTCATACCGAGTCGGGCACAGATTGGCTCTGTATACAGCATATAAAGGATTGGAGAAACTGGTGAGCCTTATGGTAGCCCACAAGTGAGAGCTTTTATGTCGGTCACAATACCTTCAAACCGAACTCTTGCGGATCGTTCAGACATGAATGACTGGACCCATCTTATAAGAAAGTCTGGCCAGCCCTGTTCTCTCATGCGAACCACCAGCCGTCCCATTAGGGCAGCGTGAAGGCCCCTGTCACATCTGCTGTGACTACCGTTGCAACAAGGCCTTGGTCAAGGGCCTGCTCAATATTGTGTATGAGTGCAGCTACCAAGTCGGCGGCAGAGCGCTTTGGCAGAGCTCCAAAATGTTATGGAGCTAGAATTCTGAGTTTGATGACAAACCAGGCAATTCTTTTTGCAATGAGTCGTTCTAGGCCTTTGCCAAGACATGATAATAGCGATATTGGTCTATAGGCCCTGGGGTTAGAATAGTCTTTCTTGCCTGGCTTTGGGATCATCACTACCTCAGCTACTTTGAATGGTTTAGGGTGGTGTCTAATCTGTAGACAGGTCTGGAAAAGGGCTCTGATATGCTCCCCAATGACTGGCCAGCAAGCTTTCAGAATCCGTACTGTGAGGGTGTCTACTCCTGGGGAGTTGCTCTTGGTCCCTATAGTGCACCCTTCAGCCTCTTCTAGTCCGACATGGTATTCAAGGGGGATGTGTGGCTTGGCTTGTGTGATCTGAGCAGACCAGGGGTCGATGATATCGTTGTCTGGGGTACTTTGTTCAAGCGTGGCTAAGCGTAGTGCATTTGCCTTGCTCTCTTGTGACTCAAAGATTTGGTCCCTTATGATGATTGGGGGGGAACGCAATCCTGCTGACAGCTTGTGCCAGGAAACAATTCTGTACAGGTCTTTTGGTTCAGTCGCTGAATCAATTAGAGTCTGTCAGTACTCTCTCTTAGCTTTTCGGACCACACAGCAAAATTCCTGTCGGGCTGAATTTCGCCCTTTTTGGCTTGTGGTCTGTTTAGAAAGGGCTCTGTATGTCTGAACAGCTGCTTTACAGTCATCATTCCACCAAGCAGTGGGCCTAGATTGACGGGGCTTCTTGCCCACTGTCCTGATACAGCCTTGAATCATATTGATCAAGCTTTGTGTAAAGGTATCCACCTGGCCAGGGGATACACCCAGCCGGGGGAGTTCATGAATCCTGGTTTGGACATTATCTGCCAGCTCTTGTAGTTTATCGTCCGGTACTATCCAATGATTGGTCTTGGAGACTCGGTCTAAATCTCCCTGAATTGGAATGACTATTCGTAATGTCTTATGATCTGAGGTGCACTGAAGTGTATCATTGACTGAGGCTTCAGCCATGGGGACATCTGAGAACACCAGATCCAGTACATTTCTATCGTCATGTGTTGGGACATCTGGTTCAGAAATCAGATCCAGTCCGTGGTCTGCCATAGTCTGTGCCAGTATGACGCCACCGTGATATCCTGGATTGCTCGAGTCCCAGGATAGGTCGCCAGCATTAAAATCTCCAGCTATAACACAGCCAAAAGGTGGAGTCCATACTTCCAGAATATCATCCACTTCCTGTGGGTTGTCACATGGCCGGTAGACACTGGCAAATGTGATGCCATGTACCTTGACCCAGGTGATGTCTCGTGTAGCATAGGGCCGAAGTTGATCCGCTTGAAGGTGTTTTCTTACATAGATAAGAGATCTGGGCCGTGTACTGTCACTGTCCCAGGAATCCACTGGGGAGTATATATTGTAATTGGGGTGTGTCTTTACTCCCATTCTCCTGCCTGGTGGTATGCCAACCCAGGGCTCTTGTATCAGAATAATGTCTGTTTGTTCTCCTTTGTAGTCAGCCAGGTTGATGGCTAACTCTGTAAGGCCTGCACTCTTTTGTCCTCCTGCTGTATTCACAGAATGGATGACTAGATGCCTATGTCGATGTGTTTCGTTTGATGTACCTAACATTGACTGACAATAATGGTATCGGCATCTCTGGGATGAGTTGTATCTGTTGTGTCGATTTATATTGTGATGTCTTTGTTATTATTGCTGGGTGTTGACCCAGCTTGGTTTCTGCCTGCTTCATTGAAGGCCTTGGATCTGGCTCTTTCTCCGGCTAGCCTTATTTCCTGGATTTGCTCCCATGTGTGCTTATGGATGGTACCTTCCACAACCTTGGGGCGGGCAGGGCATTTATTGAAATTGGCAGCATGAGGTCCTTTGCAGTTGACACACTTTGGGATTAGTTTTTTGCACTC